GTTATTAGGAGCATCAGACCTCTTAAGGTGCAATGATAAGTTCGACATTTCTTGTAAATCCCGCCCGCAGGCGCTTAGTCAGGAATTTCCAGTTAGGGTGTTAGGAATTCAGAAATTTATTATTATTTTTACTGAAAATTTATAGGGTTAAATATTAATATACAAAATATTACTATAATATGATATGTGTGACGCTTTTAATTTTAGCTTATAACATAAATGAATTAAAAGATAATTATTGATCATTCATATATGCCACTAAAAAAAATTTTTTCGTCGAATATGAAAATATTCAATAAATTACGCAATACTCAAATATTATGAATGAAAATAAGTAATCAGCATCTAAGATGTCACCCTGAGTATCTCCCTGTTCCTGAGAGTGGCATAGTTATACTTCACTAGGAAAATTAGTTAATATTCATAGTCTTCATTTAAAATGTTCGTCCTCTATCGAAATCTTCATATTCTTTAATTTTTTTATATATTATTTTAATATTTGTGTATTGATCAATAATTAACGTTTAAGTATGATCTCGTGATAAGTAAAAAGCAATTTATCATTTTTAATATCCTAACTTCACTTAGGTTTTTGATAAAAGTATTCGTCTCTACATGTTAGACTAGTCGTCCTTTTTCAATATCTTTAAAATATTATATTAATAGTTGACATGTATTACTTTAATTTATTTTGGTACTATCACATGATAAGCAGGAAGTAGTTTTTAATATCTATAATTAATCTAAACATTCACTGGCTTACCATGTTCAAGAAGAGGTTGAGAAGAATCATTACGGGAACTGACGAATTCAAAAATTCCAGTGTCTTTTTTCACGAGAAATAAAAAAGTATGATAATATTTGTTGTTTTTTCATTTAATGGTTATTGAGTGAATGTGACCTTTATAACAAAATTTTTATAAATATTTTTCTGTTTATCCAATTAATTTGGCCAAACAAAATTTTAATAAATAAAATTTTTCTATGAATTTACTTTTTCATTTAGATTTAATTGTTAATACGGAATTGAAATACAACAACAAATGTTTGGGGGACATTTATGAGGTCTAAAATGGGGGCTGCTAACTAGGATTCCTGCCCACCCCGGGCCTCCCGTGACTACCGGAATAAAATTTGAACAAAAGGAGAACAATAATAGACAGCATACATAAATGCATTTATTATTGATTTATATATATTTCCATTTACATTTATAAAAGATAATTAAATGTCATATCAATATTTATTTTTATTTATAATAAAAAATATATTACTTATCAAAATTAAAAAATGAATTAAACTTACACTATGTTTAATAATGATAATTGTACACATTAGAGATGGGTGGGGGTTAAGTTTAATTTAGCCTCACTTCGATTCGTATTTTTAAATATTGATTGGCAGACTTGATTATATGCATAATATTAATATGCCTATGGAAATAAAAAAAATTGTTTCTTGCGTAATATCTATAAATATAAATACTGTTATGCTATTAATTTACATGTGTAACATATCCTCTATATCGAGATCGACCAAATGTATATGTTGGTATTCCATATCAAATCAACTGAAGTTTCAACCCAACCCCCTTAGATTTTTTTAAAAATTTGTATGATGGTAGTATATACACTAACTAGTAAAAATTTAAAATTTTAATTCTCAACTCACCTTACTTCATGAGATATGGCCATCTTTAGAAATGTCAAAATTCCAAAATACACTATAATTTTAAATATCTCAATAAGTAATTAAGATAAAGACATAATTTAAATTTTATTAAATAGCTCTAAAATAGCTCTTTAATATGACATAAAATTTATTTTATTAAAAAAAAAGTATATTACCAAAAACCGGAAATAGAAACCGGAAATAGCTATAAAATAAAAATTGCTCTTTTTTTTTCTTTTAAATTTTTTTACAGATAGACATTATACTTCTTAATATTTTTACAAAATTCAAGATTGGGAAAAATACTGGGTCAATAGTTATTACACTTTAAATATAAGTAGTATGGCTTAAATCCTATATTATACCAAATATAAAGTAATTATTTTTTTAAAAAAGTAGGCAATATATGTGAATAATAGCATTAAAACTAAAATCCTAAAAAATCTTATTATTTTGCATTTTTTAAATGTTAAAAAACTCAAAACAACATTTACCAAATTGTATTGTATTATTTTAAATATAACGCAAAACGCCTTAATTCGGAGACATTATAAGGAATAAAAAATAAGATTTTATAAAAAGTAATAAAGTAACAACTATGATAATAAAAAGTGAGCTCAATAATCTCTTCACTCCAACCTAAAGATTATATTCGTCCCAAATTTCTTCTAGAGATTTTTTGACCTGGCAACTCTGTGAGTGAATGATGAAGTTTATTTTTCATTGCCAGATAATTAATTATTATGTGATTGTCAGAAATATATTTTCATTTTAAAGATTATTTTAATCTACTTATAATTAACAATTAAATAATTATATTTGGCATAAAGTCAATATTCAAAATTAATTCCAACCACCGTCATTTTTATTGATTAATTTTACATAGCCATTTTTCTAAGAAATTAAATATATTTATTATTAAAAAATATAATATTTTAAATGTCTACAATTCCTGTAAAGTGCTGCAACCCATTTCGAATAAAATGTCATTCAGTACCTTAGGATCTTAAAAGATTATAAACACTACATTGCACAAAGTCTATGTAATCCACCCCAGCCTTGCTGTTAATTAAGGAAATTCCAAATGTGTCCCGACACTTTGGAACTTAAAGAAAGACTACACTTATTGTTTGATAATAATGCCATAGATTATATAAAATTTAAACAATGGTTGGCAGCTGACCGTACTACACTCGAAACTTTAACAAAGTCCGCCAACGAATTTGTGCAGTATTTGATTAAAAATTAAATATTTTAATTCCTCATGCATTTATTTCAAAAATCTTTATTTATTAAGTCATTAAAATCGAATTTGAAAGGATGGGAAATATCTAATAATATTCGATTTTGCAGAGAACTACGCTTTTCTTTTGTAGTTCAAGATCCGCTCAAGGTTTCTATTCGACTAATAATCATGCAAAACTTCATCCATTTATGCTTTATTACAGCGAAGGCGATATCATAAAACATTTACGTGATTATATCAGATTGTCTCAAACACAATACTTGTTCCTTTCATTCAAATAAAATCAATTCTATTCTTGAAAGAAAGATTCAATAATATTTTATTTTTCTGATGAAGCTGTTAGTTACCCAGTATAAAAACAATAAAAACTTTGTAAACCTCTACAACCATTATAATGATTTTGAGATCAAGGCAGAATGGCATTTTTTTGCAACTGCACATAGCAAAACTTCTTGCGATAGTTTAGGGGGAATTACTAAGAGGTTGGCGGCTAGAGCAAACCTGCAACGTCTTCATGAAAATCATATAATAACTCCTATTGACTTATATAATTATGCGAGAATCAATATCCCGGATTTAATTATATATTTGTTAGCAACGTAGAATATTTAAGAATGGAAATCAATCTTGAAATAGATTTTTAATGGCCAAAAGAATTCCATAGACACAAAAATATCATTCATTTATTCCAATGGAAGGAAAAATGAAAGTCAAATTTTATTCTAATTCATTAGATTTAATGTATGATATGAATATGTTTATTTTAATTTCCCATTAATTAGCTAAATAAAGTTATAAATATTTTTACAATTATTTTCCTTCTAAAATAAAATAGCTAAACCTATGTGCTAAATATGACACAATGTCTATTAGTGATCTGCATAAGGCCTAATTTTTCTAACACGGCCAGAAAGATTTATAAAAAAATATATCCGACTCGATCTCAAACGAATTTTATTTTATTTGTTTCGTAAATTACTATACATTTAGTATAATATAGGATTTAAGCCATAACTTTTGTTCCAGTACTCGTCCCAATCTAGGATTTTGTACAAATATTAAGAAGTATAATGTCTATCTGTAAAAAAAAATTAAAAGAAAAAAAAGAGCAATTTTTATTTTATAGCCATTTGCGGTTTTCTATTTTCGGTTTTTGGTAATAGACTTTTTTTCAATAAAGTAAATTTTATATGACAATAAAGAGCTATTTTAAAACTATTTAATAAAATTAAAATCATGTTTTTAGCTTAATTACTTTTTTAGATATTTATAATTAAATATAGTGTATTTTGGATTTTCTGCCTTTCTAAAGATGACCATATCTCATGAAGTAAGGCGATTTGAAAAGTAAAATTTTACATTTTTATCAGTTAGTGTATATATATATATACTACCAACATGTAAATTTTTAAAAAAATCGAAGGGGGGTCGGGTTGAGAATCGACTCTTTTGGTTGATTTAATATGGAATACAACATATACAGTCGATTAGATAGGGCCTACATATAACCCACATTCGCTCACATTGGGCAGGTCTATGACCAACGGGCTAGATAAGAGATTTGAATAGTAATTTTAAAAAAATTCGATTTTCTTTTAACACTAGAATTCTGAATGAAATTATACGGGGAGATAATTATATATGATGGGTCTAAAGAAATTTTTGATTTAATCCAACCTTATATTAAATTATATATTGAAAATCATTGTTTAGACTGGTACCTGTAAATTTTATATCACTTATTTATTTTTCATTAGTAAATCAGATTTCATATTTATATCTAAAATAGATTATTGTGATAATGATAACATTTCAAGTCTTATTTCCTCAGATAAATATGATGAAATTTCAATTGTTAATCTCTATATTCTTGTTATTAGTGTAATACAAAATTATTACATATAAATATATTATATTTCCCATTTTGTTTTTAAATTTTAATTAAAAATGGTTTAAAAAAAAAAGAATTTTGAGCAATACAAAATCTCAAAACTGGAAATGCAAAAATGGCTAAAAAATTGCAATGATATTGAGTCAAAACTATTAGAGAGTGATAATTATACACTTGGGTATAGAATATTAATATGTGCTGTCATATTAAGATGTGCTTCAATGGAAAGTCTGATCGCCAAATCATCTTTGACAACTTCAAAGTTACAAATTATTGTTAAAAATGTTGCTACCCCATTGAAGGAAAAAATGACAGATAGAGAGGTTTATATATGATAATTGACACTGTATTTTATAGTTGCTTCATTATATATAAACATTACCTTGAGATTTAGCACCTTATATTTTATATCACTTATCTATATTTCAGAAGAGCACCCTGACCAGTGGCATAGCCCCCCCCCTCCCCATAAATAATTTTTTTTAAAAAAAACATGTTTTTAATTTATTATAAATAATAATTGATCTACAGTATTTATTTGATAATTTTTATATTTTTTAAATAAATTATATGATGTTGTATTTGCAGCACTGATTTTATATATCAAATTCAGCAGATGCTGAGAATCTTTTGCAAGCTATTATTAAGCCATAAATTTTAATATCAATACAATGTGCTTATCTTTTATTTAATTATACATATGATTTTAGCAAAATGCTACAAAAAATTAATTTGAATTTAAGGGACGTTATGAATAGAGCAAAGGATATTGTTGAAATATTAACAAATATCAGAATGTGGATGAAAGATTTCATGAAATATATGAGAAAGTAAAGGAGATTGCTAATATGTTTAGAATTGAAGTTTTTAAACCTAGAGTAGTTTTTGGACAATTCAATCCCTCAAATATTGATTCATCTATGGTTGTTTTTTTTAAATAAAATAAAAATTTTTATTCCCCTAACATAGCATAAGAGATAAGTAATTATGTGTTCATAAAAAATGTGGCCCCAGAAATTTGTAACCCCCCTCCACCCCCTCCCCTCCCCTCATGAGTAAATCCTGGCTACGTCACTGCCCTTGAGACTGAGGGCCCTTTACAACCTTGAATTGTTTATTACAAATAAAAGGAGGTGTATTGAATATACAAAACTTCCTCATCACTGAAAATGGTCATGTTTATTACAAATAAAAGGAGGTGTATTGAATATACAAAACTTCCTCATCACTGAAAATGGTCAAATATTTCTCTTATTATAATACTTGGATATAGTAAACCACTAGTTATAGCAAGCTTCAATTTTCCTGTTTCAGCTCATAATACTAACGAACGATAAAAGATTTTTTTTTAGTCAATAGACAAATGAGAGGGATAGTTGAATTTAAATTTATAAAAGCAATTATATGCATGCAATACTCATTTTAATTGTTTTGTTCAGATTTCAATAAATTTTGCTAAATATATTACAAAAAATATCTGCAAGTGATAAATATCCATTTGCAAGATTTATGAATTTAGTTTGATTTATTTAATGTTATTTATATATAAGGCAATATATTAAATGGCTGCTTAAAAATTTCAAAATTCATTATTTTAAATACATAAAAACATATGTCCTAAAAAGTAGGACCTGGTAACCCTATTCCATAACACTGATCTAATATTTGCATTGATTTTTATTTACCATCTATCCTTAAATGTTTGTCATAAAAAAAATCAATATTATTTATTCAAAAAATATTGTTAACTATAAACTATGGGTAAAATAAGAAACTCTTTGATTTTTTAGTTTCTCATGACCAAAGGGATAGCGTTATGATGATAACGCTATGATAAAATTTGAAAAACAAATGTTGCGGCGTATTTTCAAAAATCAAAAATTATTAGTTCTATCAAGAATCAACTGTGATTTCGATAGCGATGAATAACTCAACACTTGAACGCAGGGTTTATTGTTGATTCAATATGATTTATATTATGGAGATTTGCATAAATAAATCCTTCAAATGATCCAAACGAACTAAAGAAATTTGACAAATTCTAAATTAGATTAATATTGTAAAAAAAAATTGGTGATAATATTTAATATTATAGATAATTAAATGGTTGCGCACGGGCATTTAAATAGCAATTTTCTATATATTTTGAAAAGAAAAAAATTGCCCTCTGTAGTTGCAGTAGTTTACAAGCACCGTAAAAGAATATATCATGTACTAATATTACAAGAAACTTACAGCTCCTTTATATAAAATTTAGTGCTGTAAAGTAACGTCAAAAAAGTAACGTCGGAAACGCCATTCGTTACCTTCATCTAAAGGTAACGCGTTTCTTTTTTTGAGTAAAGGTAACGCAAAACGTTACTTTACTCGTTACTTGATATTTTTTCTTAAAAAATATCAATAAAAAGAAAAACATATTTTATTGTATTATAAAATTACTTTTTTTTATTTTTTAATTCTTAATATTATTAATTTAAGCCGAGTTTTAATTCATATCAACCACTTCCAACATTTTTTTCAATTCTCGTTGTTAAATTATCAGTCGAAATTATTATTCAATCAAAATTCAAAGTAAATATAATGATATTATTAATTAATTTACAATTTATTTTAAAAGAATATTATGTCCATAGTACTTACTTCTTCAGATGAAGAAGATTTAACCCTTCCCTGGCCCCAATTTGAATTATATTTTAAACCAATTAAGAAAATTAATGGTACCAAGTCTGCACTTTGTAAATGTAAATTATGTCCCAACGCAAATATTTCAACGTCAATGTCAAGTAGCCCAAACTTAAAAAAACATTTGAAGGTAAAGAATGAATTAATATATAATTATTTTAAACATATAAAAAGATAATCATGAAATGATTTTAAAAAAATTTATTTAAATTTCATTATAGATATTATTATTAAAATACTATATATATAGCATCTTATTATTTAACCATGTATTTATTTTAATGATAGTACACAATAAAATAAATTTAAAAATTTATTACACATAAATATTTTTTAAAAAATACAATAAAATTTAAGTATTCTTGTTACTCTTAATGGTATTTAAAAAAATATATATAATTTAACAAATATATTTATAACTAATACAAATGAGTATATTATCAAAATATAAATAACTTTTTTTGCATATGCAATACCTTTATAAAAAACATAAATATTATGACTAAGAATTTATTATAATTAAGTTTTGCATATAAAAATTTTAATACTAAAAGAACATATTATAATCATATTGTAATTTTATTATAATGCTAGAAATTATTTAAAAGCCCTCAAGTAAAAAAATTATATAATATATTTATTAAAAATTTATTAGAGTATATGAACAAGGAGAGAAAACGGATGATGAAATAGTTCATCTGCCATTATTTGATCTATTTGAAGATCAAAATATTAATGATAGTATTGTATACTTACCTAAGCATCATTCCTGTTCAGCACACACTTTAAATCTTATGTATTGACACTGAAAAGGCACTCAACGATGTCCATTATAAAACCATTTCAAAAATTACATTTTCTAAATGTAAGTTTTGTAGAATAAACATGAGCAATCTTCTAACTGTGCAGCCATTTTTAAGGAAAATATGGGAAGATATTTGATTAAATCTGTTATAACAAGATGAAATTCTTTCTATAACTCTGTAAAATTAATAAATAGTCTTATTAAGGTGACTTACCAAAAATTTGATGAATCTTGCGACAAATCTGGATTATATAGATTTTCAGATAACGACAAGTCGTTCTTAAATGAATATTGTATGGTTAGTGTTAATTAAAATATAATATGTATATATATGATTTTATAGGTTATTGAACCGATAGCGACGGTTCTTTCAATTTTAGAGAGCGAAGAAAATATGCATTTGGGATATCTCACTCCCATTATAAGCATTATAATATCAAAACTTAAAAAATTGGCTTTAAATAATTTTAAGTTTTGTAAGCCGCTTATTGATTCAATCCTGGAATTCATAGATAAAAGGTATACAGTTCAAATATTCCTTATAATTTATATTTTGACTATCATATTTTCAATAGATTCAAACACATCTATGATGATGATTATATACTATCGGCAATAATTCACCCACTATTTAAAATGGATTGGCCCTGAATAAAATTAGAGGTTAATAAAGGAAGAATGCTGGAACTTATTTCCAGTTTGAGAAAAGATATTGATAAAGAAAGAACAGGCTTGATTCCTTTATCCAACACACACACACTAGAATATTTTCAGATAATGGTATTTTTATTTTGATGAGGAAATGAATGAAGATCTCTGTGAAGATGATCTTTCAAGCTTTTTTCAAAATAAAGATATTTCCTTAAATATTTTTAATAAATTCCCCGAATTGAAATTTTTGTTTATTAAATATAACACCACTCTTCCATCCTTTGCGCCAATTGAACGTATGTTTAGCACGGCGAAAGGTATGTTGAGTACTAAGCGCTCATGTTTATCTGATCAAAATTTTAAAAATCAATTGTTAAAAATAAATAAAAAATTGTTACATAAAGATGTTATCTTATAATATATTATTTTTGTATAATTTTATTCATATTATAATTATATATGAAAATTTTATTATAAAAAGATTTTATCTTATATGTTCTTATTGTATAGTTTTATTTTATTATATATTGTCGGAAAAAAATAAATATTTTTTTGCATTATATATAACATTTAATTTTTTAAGTAACGAGTAGCCCGTTACTTTTTTGAAAAGTCGGTAACGCGCGTTCCTTTTGTAAAATGGTAACGAGTAACGGCAACGCGTTCCATTTTTCAGATGTTACGAGTAACGGTAACGCGTTTCTTTTTTGTAGTAACGTTTACAGCACTATAAATATTTAATACTATTAAAATTATTGAGGGGAAAAATTTAATATTAAAAAATCATGTATGGGGAGGGGGCATTTGAATCACTTGGCGCCCTTTTGAAGTCCTCTTAATTATTAATGACCGGCGAAGTCCGCGAAAATTTCCTATATGCTACTGTGATTAAATTTCAAAACAATAATTTCACCTACAAATCTTTATCGTGAGTAAAAAAAAATTTTTTTAAAGGGTTCGCAATCGATGGATAATAGAAAATACGCGCTAAATTCCGCTATGTACGATAATTTAGAACGAACAAGAGTATTGGAAAATATTGAGGCGGAATTTTGTAGATCCAACTCAAATGTAAAGTAATAATGAGCCACGGTGTCCTGTCCTGATTTTGTTTGTTTGTGAATTGGATCTTTGTTCTACTTAGATCATTTAAATTTCTCAAAATTAAATGGAGTTTATCAAAGCTTACTAACCCGAAATATTATAAAAATGTATTCCCCCAGAAATTTCTGACCCATAACCGAACTTTAACAGCAAAATCTCTTCTTTTTTTTAAAAAAATGGCTAACCGGATATTCTTTATAAACGTATAGGTTAGTCCATTTATTCTTCAATCACACCCTTAGCGGGTATATCGAGTATTTATGCTCACCTCTACATTGCAAGCACGGCAAAAAGATACGAACGTTAGATAAATCGATCCGCGTTACCCCGTCAGACTTAAACGATAGGGACCATAAAAAATGGGTTGTTGGGGCGTATCCCAAAAACGAATCCAACAAGAAGGTGAAAGTTTTAAAAGATTTAAATAAATCCATAGAAGCGTTTCCCGAAAGCCTGGCTGAATTGGTTAAGGCCATACACGATTCGTTTGTCAATTCGCTGGCGGAGAAGATTGAACACTATAAAACGGTTACCAATCGATTTCGTCGCGAATTTCTGACTACATTCGCCGATATTTTATCGACGCGAGGCCATCAAAACTCAGATATTAATGCGCAAGAAAAACGAGGAGAAATGATAGCCAAATTTAAAGGGTACACAATGGCGCGGGTAAAATATTTTATTTTTAGCGTATATTATTTATTCTGTTGGAAATTTATTCGTAAATATTTTTAAATAAGTAGCTCATTATAATAGGAATTTATCCTTTCAAACAATATATAATAAAATCCCGATTAGAGATGGGCGCGGGGCTAATTTTTTAATTCTTTCAGTCCACCCACACTGGCAAAAAAATTTGCACCCAGTTCACTACCGGGGTTTAAAAATTTATTTGACCATCTCACTCGAGATAAAAAATTTTATTATTTTTATTTTGCCTTTCAATTTGTAAAACCGTGTTAGATATTTTTTTTTAAATGTGTTCGTTTTAACAATTGGCCATAGAATACAATCGTTGACTGGAAGCCGAATTGGCTGCTTGCTAACAAAATTTTTCTATTGAATTTTCATTAAAAAAGGAAAAGAATTTATTTCTTTGTGCTAAAATTTTTAAAATATAATGATTTTTATTTATTTGATGATCGATGAATCTTGTTTTTATAAATTTCATCTTGACAACTATCGTTAGTTGAATAATACGCTTCTTCATCGGAATTCAGAATCGGAATGATAATTGTTTTGCTTTCATAGACACATCTCATTCATTGTTGGGCTGAAGATCTTAAAAGTTATATTTATCAATAAGAAATTGTCTAATTCGTGTATAATAGTTTTACCTATTGGGGCTAATCTTTTTTATTCCTTTTTTGTTGCAAGAGGTAGACTTGTTCAGCGTATGATTTTAATAGACTCTGTATCATAATTATATACAATTTCCATCTCGTTATTATTTTGCGTTAAGGTAATGTTTCAGCCTTCTGTTAGCAGCACCTTTTTTTAAAAAAAATTAACATCATTTAGATTTGAAGAAATGTCGGTAATCATACTTTTATCGTGATTTACCGAAAATTTTTGTACACACCCAATCGCGCACAGTGATTTTTTTAGAAAAGTCTCTCACGTTCGATCACGGCTCGAAATTCAAAATTTATTCACACTTACGTCTGACTCATCTTATCATTGAAGTTTTCACATCTCGCTCCCATCTTTAATTCTGATCCTATTCATTGGTACCAAAATCGTAACAGAAACTGAAACAAATTTTGGTGAATACAGGAGCCTCCGAAAATAAAGGAGCATTTCATTTTTAGGGGAGTGAGGTTAAGATTTTTGCGTTACGCTTCGGTTAGCCTCCATTTGTATTTATGATTTGGCTAACCAACACCTATTGAGAGTTGGTTGTTATAACATTATTTCTATTTGTTAAATATTCATAAGAAATTTTAGAATAAGGTTTATTATATTTTTTTTAATCTCGGTTAAGCCTAAAAAAAATAATGAGATTTATTTTGCATCATTTAAAAAAAAATTCTAAAGACTAAACTATGCACCCTCTTGGAGCATTCCGGAGCATCTAACATCTCCCTCTCTTTGAAGGAACTCATGTTTATTGATTATTTAGACCTTATTCAATCAACATCATTGGCATATGATTCGGAGGTTGTTAATTTTATTATAAAATTCCCATTATATTCTTTTTAGATTCACTTTTAAAGATTTCTTATTTCAAGGCATATCATGTTTTATAATCAAATTTGATTTATTAATATTTAAGCATTAAAAATAGCGGGGTAGAATCGAATCCCAATTATCTAGATATTTATTTTCTAAATGCATACCAAATACAGCTACCTTTTTTAGAAAACAATCCGATTCCGCAAGATGATAATGACCAATCATCTTATTTGCTATATCGGATCCGTCACTCCGAAATATCGGCTGATATCCGATACTCTCTAAAATGAATTATCTAGTCGATATGATATTTGGAAAAAAAATGTGTACATGTCTTACAGGGATACGTCGTGTGAATTTGGATTCCCAATTCTTAAATCCATGAGGGCACTTTTTAAATTTGAGAAATTTGATTTGACCGGAAATGTATTTCAAATTTTACACAAATTTAAACCTGAAATTTATTTTTAGATTTAACATTTAAATTTGAAAAAAAATTTGTGGCAAAATTATATCATTTTTATAAAAAGATGTGGTCTCTAGTATTTTACTTCGGGGGGGGGGGGGTAAGGTGAATAGTCAAATTCTAGTTGAATATCCCTCCCTTTAAATACGCCAATGACTCTATGCATGTTACTTAAATACATTTCCGGTTTAATCAGATTTTTCGAAAATTTAAAATTGAGAGATTCCGAATTCCTCGTGGATACCATATCTCATTACGATTACGACGTATACATACATCCCTGATTTGTTTCTTAACTATCATGGGTTCTTTTATATTAATTAAAAGGAAGACAAGTTATTTCTCGACAAACGTCAAATGCTGATTAGTTACGATATAACCGAAAAATTTGAGCTCGCTATTTATGATCGATTGCTTGATATAGATGGTGCACAGACACATTACGCGCGCGTTCCCATTTTAGAGCTGTTGACCCTCATGTTCGTTAGTTACGCTCTTACCCTTAAAAATTGTTTCAATCCGCTTTTCTTTCATCACATCGCGTCCAAGACTATCGACTTTTTGCAAAGGGCTTCGCGTGCGTCCCATCATTTGGACGTAAATTTTTTTTGTATATATAATATAATATCGGATAAAACACATACAATGCAATTTACAGATATATAAACCCTTCTTCATATATTTTCTCAGTAGAACCCATAAATATAAAAGGAACCAACATTACTATTTAAAAGATTTTTGCGTAATATTTTAAAAAGCGGTAAAATGTCCATGCTCAGTAATAACAAGGCAATTCTTATTATCTTTATAAGACATTCATTTTTAATTTCAAAAATAATTTATTTTTCTTAAAAAATTTATATTAATATAAAGATGTTTTCTGAAGAAAGATATTTTTTTGGTCTGAGCTATTTAAAAAAAAATATATATATTTAAAAATTTTCACACACATTATGTGATATCCAACTTCAACCACCTTTTTTCAAAGAATAATAATTCCTATAATATATTTTATGACAGCTAAATTCGGCCAACCGGTGTAAACCAAAACCTTCATATTTAAAAAAAAAATCGATTTTATCTTCCAAAATAAGGCTTAAAATCTGATTTTTCATTAAATTGTCTAAAGAAAATTATCAATTTTGATTAAGATGTGAAATGATTTAAAACATATACTTTTAATATTAAGATAATAGATCATAATATTTTTTAAAAAGCGTAGCAACTCATGTCAGATTTTGAACCATCCCAATTTAAAAAAAAATGATCTACCATAATGGTTAAACTATTTCATCGTCATTTTAAAAAAAATCAAGAAAAATATTGGCATAGATTTTAGAAGGATGCGTCCAATTCTTCGGTCAACTCTCTCGGAGATGATAAATAGATAATAAATATTTTTAAAAGAACCATCAATACCTACAAAATTTTTCATAGTAGACCCGGCGGAAGGCAAGACATATGGGAATTTGGAAACTAAGTACCCAATTTTTTTAAAACACCCCCCCCCCCCTATCGTCCCTTGAATATATTCTAGTAAGCTACTTGTAAAGACAAAATTGACTCCCCACCTTATATACATATTTATTTATTTTTATTATTTAATTATTAAGGCATTATACGCTCCGGGGTATTTGCAATCTTGGATTATCATTATTTGCCTTAACACCTTCGATATTATATCTCATCCTCATTCTAAGCCCGCCCCTCGGCTTCATCCTGATTCCCCCCAAAACGCCGAACCAACATCCACGCAATCCAAGAACAAGGGTTCTCCTATAAAAATAAAGATCGCTAAAAAAACGGATAAAACGAGGGCCAATAACGAATCGAGTTCCTGTTCGCGTATGACAATGCGCGACGTTAATGCAGATTTTGAAAGTGTAGCCATTGATAACAATCCTATGATAGCTAAACGCGAATCACATTCTCTCAAAAATAAGGCTCATTTATTGGGTTATGCTAAACAGGCGCTAGAGGTTGATCACAACTATATATATAATAAATAAATAAAATATTTATTGGAGATCATGCTCTTATTATAATTATTGAAATATGATATAATAAATTAGTCGGGGCTGTTTAACAGAACCCAATTCCGCTCCGGTCCGGTTTTTTCAAAATCACAATTTACTTCCATTTCTAGTTATTTAACTTTTTTTTAAATAATGACTAATTCAAAATTATTTTTAAAATATAATATAGTCAAAGGCTTGCAATAAGTGGACCAAAAGACTTGTTACGTCTATGTTAATTGAACTCAAAATACTTATAAAAATATTTCAAAAACTTGAAAATCAAAACTAAATAAAATATACGAAAAACTTACATATAAATTATTTGTTATAAAATGATAATATAAATAATTTTCCGGTCTTAAAAGACCAAGCCGGAACCGATTCTAAATTGAGAAACTCGGACTGTCGTTACATGTCTGGCATTCCCGTTTATCCGTAAACACGTTTTGGCCATGCTAAAATATCATTATAATTTTATAAATAATACCTTTATATTAGGACAATCCACGGAATTCATTTTTATAATAATCATGATGTTTAAGTTTTTATCATTATCCATATATTCCTTGAGGAGTAAAATCTTTCAATTTTATTTTCTATGCATTCAGAAACTTTAAAAAGTTTATTGACCTGATCGTTGTGTCAATTATTTATTTCTGGCATTTGAAACCAAATCCAATTAATTTTTAAAAAAATTTCTGATTCTATTGTTTATTGTTTTATCCTATTTTTTTTTTTTATCATTATCACTATAAATCATTTAAAAATTTAAGATATAATATAAATATTATTATTAATACCATTAATTAACTATATTTAGTCATTGCTTAAATTAAAACGTATCTTGAATTGGAAATCTCGGACATATATTTAATATCTTTTTGTTACGAAAGATGGGATTGAATTTAAATATTTTTAAATATAATAGAAATAAATGTAAAAAAACTATATAAAAATGCATCCATTTAATTGTATATATAAATAGATATAGATACAACTTAAAGTGTATCTAGATGTAGATGATTTTATAAAAAAATGTATTTAGATAAGATAAAGATACAAATTTTTATCTAGATAACTTATAACGACTTTGCAAAATATATATTTTAAGTAATAAATTTACGATTATTTTTGTTATATTTTATATAATATTATAAATAGGATTATCTTAAAAAGTCTAATAATAGGCAGGGTAACAATAACAACATTTTCAACTCTTGAAGGGTGTTTATATTTTTGTTTTGAAATGGATAATGAATTTATTTACAAAATGTTTCAAAACAAATTCGCCTATTTTTGATCTTTTAGTGATTGTCGTTCGTAAGAATTCATTAATTTGTAATGTATTTTCTACTTTCTGCAAAAATATCTTAGACATCATATGTACTAATCCACCTTCTTCTTCGTGCCACAAATAACAGCTGTATTTTTTTTTTGAACCGTGATTATGCATGAACGTGAAATTATGAACATATAGTTTTGCGCTTGATTTTATGCAGGGATGCACTTTTACATCTTGCTAATCCGTGGGAATTTTTGTTAACCTATTTTTAAAAAATGGCTGATTTCCCGTTTTTTGACAAAGTTTTTTTGATTTTTTTTTTAAAACTTTTTGGACACAGCCTAATAAACACATCATTTAAATTTTCTCAGAATAAGTTAAATTTACTATTTTAGTATGAGATCAACAGGGTGTAAATGATATAATAGCAATACGAAACTTTTGGTGATATAAATATTTATCTCTACTATAAACAAAAAAATTTGCCAACAAAACATGTAAAAGTATCCATGATTACGGTGCCGCAATTATCAAAACATATTGGATTAATGAACTTTAGTATTTTATTTTAAAAAATTAGTAAATGTTTGACAACTTTTCCATAATATTTGACTATAATATTATAAAACACGTGATGTAGGAGTTAGGCGAAATTTGTGGCACGTTACCAGCCCAGTTATTTGGGGACGCTGAAAACACTCACCAGTTATCCGCCTCCGCTTTGAATTTGATTTCGGTATATGAAAAAAGTATAGGATTATCTCAAAATGACACTTACCTTATAAAACTTAAAGACTGTTTAACTTCCAAGGACGGTTTCAAGAATTTTTATATGGTTAAATGTAATTTTTTTAATTAAATCATAATATTTGATATTTAAGAAAAAAGGCAGATATAAATAAAGAGAAAGAAAGAAAGAGAGAGAGATTTTCAAATTTGTAATAGAAAAACTCTATATTTTTTAAAAAATAAATAAATTTTAAAATAAAGTTAGTGATAAAACCCCTATTTAATATCCGAAAATTATTTTATCTTCAGTTTTTTTTTTGGAAATATAGCTACTTTGAAAAAAATAGCAGTAATAAATTAATCGCGCTTTAAAGCTTAGCGGAATCGTCTATACATTGAAACCTATTTTCATTAACAATAGTCATATACAATGAATCATTTTTTAAAAAAATTCTAATTTTAGGAAATAGCCGAAATGTGCATGGTTTGTTTGAAGCAGATTGGCAGAATGCGATCCGCTAAATTAGTTGGAAAGGATATGGCGCAATTTTTATTGTAAGAATATGATAATTTAAAAATATTCTTTTATTTTGAAGCGCGCCCTTTAAAGTACGAGCTGATTTTAGCTTAAGGGCAGCCCCCCTCTCTCAACCCTATTTAATTAAATTTGGTCTTTTTTTAGCAAATTGCTATTCCCAAAAACGACGATTTAAAGATTTTTTTGCCCAAATTTTCACTACAAATCTTAGAGACCTTTTTTTTGTAAGTTTGGAACTTTGATTAAATTTTTCTCAAAATTTCAGGTTTATTTTATTTGCTTGTGATTTTTAAAGAAAAATCTTTGAAGTTGTTTTGAGCAAGTTAAACTCTGCAATTTAACACGACGAAAACACTAAAAAGATCAATTTGTCTGAGAGCTAGAAGGGATTAACTATTAGAACACTTATTTTACTTGATAAGAATGGTATAGAACAAATTGATAATCCATTTTTTATAAAAAGAGGAATTGGGAAACGAAGCTCATCAAAAAACATAAAAGTCTTACAAATAAATTGCAAATGAAAACTATGAAATTTTTTGATGCAAGGCTTCATCCAACATCCCTTTCTATCCCTCCTGGAATTAGCTACATTTCTCGAATGAATTAGTGTTCATATATAATAGACGTATCGGCGTTATATTTTTGCATCTATAAAAAATATATAGTAACGTCGTTTTTTTAAATTATTCTATTACAGCAATGTATAATATAATATATTTATATTATATCTTTAAAAAAATGTAGACGATCTAAGGATTTCGAAAGAGCAGAAATCTTTTACCTCCATTTACTGAAACAAACTGAAAGGGAGGGTTGGAAATATATGTGTATAAACATCATGAAGGATCTTGTTTTGTGTCGATTAGCTTCTTGTAATGAAGGTATATTAAATATTATTTCTATTTTATACCCTACGGCCTAAGCCCAGTTGTATCTGAAATTAGAGTTTGGAATCCTAGGAACCGAAATTTGAAGTCCTCTTCAATAATTTATTTTGTTACATGTCAATACCGAGAAATTTTTTTAGCGAAAGTTGATTACCAAGAAATAATATTATAGCGAATGTATTACCGCGAATGCATTATCGTGAATATAACATCGCGAATGCATTATAGCGAATATAATACAGCGAAAATATTATAGCGAATGTAATACGACGAAAGTGTTATAGCAAATGTATTATAGCGATTACATTACAACGAATGAATTATCGCGAATGTATTACCACGAACGCATTATCGGAATACATTATCTTGAATGCATTGCAGCAAAAGCTTTACCGCAAATGCATTATAGTGAATGAATGATCGCGAAAATATTAAAGCGAATTTATTATATTTAATTCATGTAATCTCTAATGATGAAATTGCAACTATTGTGGCATTGGGAGAAATATTATAAAAATGATTTCCTTAATTGATTCTTGTTAGGTTCTTGATTCCTGACGAGTCTTTTTACTAGTTATGCGATTAAAGTAAAAAATGTATAAAAATGTGTATAGAAAATTGAATGAATTAAACATGCTTCATATATTATTAAAAATAACTTAGCTATTTCTCAAACAAATTGTAGTATATTTCCATTTCAGTTTGTCTGCTATATTTTATTAATCTGGCGAATGTCATAAATTTTATTAGAGTGGCGATAATAGTGGTTGTGCATTACTATCATCGTTTTGTTCTGAGATGAGTTTATGGTATAAAATATTTACTTTGTGAGTGCAATTTCTGTTAACAATGTTGTTTATTTCAGGGAGTAGATGTACAACCCTAAAAAATCAAAAAGTGAAAAATATCTCTTTTTTACATTTCATATGCTTTCATATTTTTTTAAATGTACATTCTTCTAGACTGGTTTTATAGAAAGATTTAAAGCAAAAGTTTTAAAATCAAGCATAGACGGATATTAAAATTAATTAAACAAGATGGAGCAAACTCATCATTTATGATTCCACTTTTTACAATTTCCTTAGAGAAAAAGAGATCTGGTGGAAAAATATTATCGGCCAGGAACTTCCAAAAGGTAACAAATTTATGGTTCCGATATATTTTAATAATAAAAATATTAACGATGAACTGCTTATTATAAAGTAAGTGGATAAGTAGCAAAGAATTTTAATACTTAATGCATTCACTATTATGCATTCGCTATAATGCATGCGCGATAATAATTTCGCGGTAATGCATTTGCGCTAATACATTCTCTATGATGCATATGCGATAATGCATTCGATGCAATGTATTCGCAGTAATACATTTGCTGTAATGCATTCGCGATAATGTTTTCGCGGTAATGCATTCGCTATAACGCATTCGCGATACTGTTTTCGCTATGATGTATTCACGATAATGCATTCGCTATAATATCTTTTCGCGGATTTTCGCAGTATTGACGTGATACGAATTTATAGATATCTGAAATGGAAATCATATTTAGAAATTTTTAGAGAATCAGTACCTGAAACCTATTAAATATTATAACGTATTTTTCGATAAATCTTTTAATTTTCTATGTAATATATATTGCCTCTTTTATTGTTTATATTGTATGTGTCTTCTGTCCCTTCATCGCTTCTTTCTATAATAATTTTTTTATCCAATTTATCCCAATAATCGATGATCCATTAGATTAAAGGGTAGATATTTTACAGTTTATTTTATTTTTACATCTACGCTGCCTTATGATAGCGATTTCATTTCCTTCATATGTTTTTAATTTTGTACGAATTATCGTCTTAGCAGGTTTATTTTGTTCCTTGTACTTTATGAGATGATTGATACCGATTCTTCGGTGTCCGGGATCTTGTTTATTTTTCTACCCTTTATACTTGCTTGAATCGATCAAGACCCTAGTTCATATCCATAAAATCCATTAATTACGGATATCTTAATTTAAGTTAAGTTCAGGCTGGCTCGTGTGCCACATGCTCATTAAATAGCTGCGATCGTAAAGTTACAAAAGGATAAAAATGAATCCCGACGATCAGCTTATGTGTAAATTAACGCGAATAAATAGTTCGGTGCTTGGTAACACCGAGAGGCGTCTGTGGAAAATCCAGACAGGACATTGAGAAAGTTTGCCACCTCACCTCGATACTGGATACAATGGAGATTGAGTCTTCTTAAGAAAAATTTAAAATCAGCTTAAGTAGGCTAGAAAGATAAATATTAATCATCTCATTAAGCACATGGAACAAAATAACTTTGCTGAGTCGATTTTACAAAATTAAAAACATATGAAGGAATAATCGAGGCAGCTTAGATATAAAATTAAAGAAACTGTAAAATATCGACCATTGATTATAGTAAAATCTGATGGACCATCGCTTATAGGGATAAATTGAATAAAAGAATTCAAAAATTATTACTGAAAGAAGCAATATTAAGAACAGAAGCCACATATATAAACAATAACAGAGACAATATATATTACTTGAATTAAGAACTAAAAAATTTAACGGAAAAATATGTTACAATATTTAATAGAATCGATTCTAACACTAGTGCAATATATGTACAATAAAATTTGTCTAATTTTGGCAACTCCTTAATTTAAAATTTTGAGTCGCCTAGTCAAATTCCTATTAACTATAGAAAGTAAAAAGTACTTGATAAATTGGCAACTATCTGAGTTGGGCAGAAAATCTTGGTTCCTGTAGTGGTGCCCAAATTAGACAGGTTTTACGTATTGTTTTGAAAAATTTTGCGTGATTCAGTGAAACGGCAGGGTGTTGTTTACTCTTTAGAAATATTTTGAATTTTTGCTTATTACTTTTAAAATAGAGTTTATAAACCCGGAACCTGAAATCTATCGAAACCCCGCCAAATTAAAAACTAGTTTTTTTAAAAAACATTTTAGAAAACCAGAACCATTTATAAAATTTTTTTTACCAAATTCTGATCTTAATAAAATTATCGTTTATGAAATAAAAATCAAATTTGGACTTAACCATATTGTATGTATGAACCAAATGTGGTCGAAAATATTTTTAAAAAAATTAAATCTAGATCTGAATTCATAGCGAGATGTGTACCATTCCTTCATGACTTAATAGCTGTTTTTTTTTATCTTCCTTACTAAATTTCTCCCAAATTGATAAATCTATCTGAAATGACTTATACCCCTCAGCCAAATAATATTCTCCTTTTCCTATCAAAGCTCTTTCGAGATCTTTTTCTTGTATTTGTACTTTATTATATATTATATCAATTAAATTAATTAAATTACTTGATTGCCAATTTGTATAACTTTTAAATACATGATTCATGGACTCACAATTGTTGTTAGTCCATAAATCACTTATAATTTTATTTATTATTGGGATAAACACATGATTGTACAAATTCTTTCTAAATAAATGTTAATATATTCTATAAAAAAATAGTAGTGATTATTTTCGCAAAATTTTCGTAAATTATTAAGTTTATCAAAAAAAATCTCATCAGAATTGGAAAATATCAAGCCATTGTTACCAAAAATTAAAAATATTATTTTATTATATATTACTTCGGGAATCCCCTCTTTATCTCTCAAATAATTTTTAATATTTTCTTTTATATGTCTTGTGCATAATAATTGCACAGAATTCGGAAAATTTTGTTTTATGGAGGTATGTAGAGCTTTTTCATCATCTGTCCCAAAAATTATATTGTTTTTATTAATTAGATTTTTTTTAAAAATTCCCTCTAAATCTGAAAAGAAATTATTATAAGTTTGATAATCTACATTCCCATGCAAATATCTGTTTTATGATCATGATATCAATTTTTTCTTTATTAATATTGATTTATTTTTGATTCTATACAATCTCCTTAAAAATAAATTAAAAATCTCTCAGCTGTTAAATCGTGTCGTCATATTATCTTGATTAGCGTTTTTATTTTTCACTGCCGCTTTAAATCTATCTTATCAGCTTTACATACATAAGTTTGTAGGGTTTAGTGAGCGTAGAAAAAGAGGGTTAGTCAATTTTTAACATTCCTAGCCTGTTGTACAGAATCAAATATTTGGAGTAAATATAAGGGAGCCCAGAATATGATTTGAGACTTAGAGATGCAAATAAAAGAGAGAATGAATATTTGGCTACGAATTATGATGATTATGATGTACTACCCGGATGACCAATGAGAAGAGGACCTGGTATATATATATATAATGAATTTAAAAAAGGAAGGTGGGATGGTAGAGGGTTCTCGTGAAAGTTGAACCCGATGGCTTGAAAAGGTTGTTGATTTAGTTCAACGGGGTTTTAACTTTCAGTTATGACAACATTTTTGTAGAAGGGGGAGCAATTGATTTTGGGGTTTGGATTTGGAAAAAGGCAGGGGTGGGTTGAAAGAAAAATTATTTATTAAAAAATGAAATAGGTCGAAACATCCATTACTGCATTAACAATAATTCATTTCCCTAAATATTTTGATTTTCGTTCCGTTCTCGTTTCAGTTTAACTCAAAATTTTTTCCAGGTTGCTTGCTAAGGAATTATTTTTCTTGGAGGAAGCTAGTCATTTTTTTTATAGATTAATCATATATTAATTTCATAAAAATTAAAACTAAGCTACCCCAAATATTGGTATTCAAAAGGTCAAAGTTGACAAATGCGTTTACATTTTGCTTACGCTCGCTTGTTGTTCCGAAAAATATTTTGATGGCAACCCGATCTTGACTATGAATGAAAGGAAATTTTATTATGCTAACGCCATTTCAATCATCTATAATAAAAATAGCAACAACAACGAACAAATTTTCGGAGATTGTTTTAAAAATGAATCAAAAGCCGACGAAAAAACAGGTTTATATTTTTTGAAAAAGAATTCCGATCATTTTACCCTTACCTTTTCGTGGAGTTATAAACTACCCCTCACTTTAAAAATAATTATAAAAACATTTAAAAATTATGGGCGTGCCGATACCACTTTTTGGAGGTCGATCCTATATTAAATTGATATCGGCCGATTACCGATCCGATATTATATCTTATTTTGTATTCTGTAAACAATCGTTAATTTTTAATGCATAATACACTACTCATCTCATATAAATTTTAATAGTTAACATCTATAATTTAACTATATCATATAATATAAGTCATTTAAATATATTATGACTTTCAGTTATAGTTTATATTCATGAATCTAAAAGTATTATATAAAAATTTTTATTGATAAATCACTTTATTTATATAATATCATTAATCTATTTAAATAATAAGTAATAACAAAATATATTATGAAATTTAAAATAAATGTTCAAATGATAATTAAAATTAATATATCGAAGATTTCTTTTCAAAAAACCAAAATTTCTAGTCTAGCAGTGGTCAACATGCATCGTTGGAGACTGTCATTATCATCAGCTTCACTAAAAATAAATTTTGATGAGATATTTGTGGCAGGTGTTGCTAGATAATGACGATCAAGAGAGATATTCGCACACTTTTATAAATAAAATGCGCAAAAAAATAACAATATGGCGGAATTTTTATTTATAAAAATATTTAGACGCCATTTTATCGGATCGGATCGGGAAATTTTAGATCGGTGTCGGTTAATCCCTAATAAAATATTTTATTTTTTTTTGACTAAATTAAATTCATGCAAAATTTGGGATTATTTTTGGTTTAACCAACATTTTTTTCTAATTCTCTGATTTACGATTGAAATTTTGAGCTAAAGAATTTTTTTTATATAACGTTATTAAGTGATAAAAAATAAATTATGATCTATTTAACGTTAAAATAATCAGTTTTCTATTTAGTCAATAAATTCTGAGATTTTATATATTTTTTTTATTAGTATTTCCATTTTTATTTGGATATAGGAACCTTTAAATTTGAATTATCTTATCGTTATTAAAATAGAAAAGTTACGGTGTTTAAAAACAATGTGTTGTACTCATGGTGGTAGTCCAAATTTTGCAAAGATAGAAATAAATTAAGGGGTTTCTTTAAATTTTCAAAAATTGATAGTTCCTCTACAAGATCCGATTTATAGTTTAAAATTTGATGCTTTTTCAATTCTTTTTAAAACATTATTAATTAGATTTTTATTAGCTCCAGATATTCGAGCATTATTATAAACTGTGCCACCTTTTGGGGCATTTATTTTAATATCCCAATATGAGTGGCATTATCCTCATCATCATTGGAATTACCAATTTGAAAAACTCGAGGGAGGGCGATGGGATCAGTGCTATCAAGAGCTTGAATATCCAATGTGTTATATTTAGACATTTTCTCTGATCTAGAACTCAAATTCAACCTCTGCCGTTTTTTTTCTTGGGGCAATCATAAATTTTATTATTCTTTTAATAAGATTTTAGGTTACTTTTTTAAAAAAATACCATCCACTGTTACTAGATTATTTTTCATATTCACCTAATCTAACATCCTTTCTAACCTAGGGTCCAGAATCTGTTCTTTAAATTAAATTCCTCTTCAATTTTCCCATATAGTGAGTTTCTAGAGTAAAGTACATATCATATTAAAAATATCATTTATTTAAATGAACGTTAAATTTAATATAGTTTCTTCGTCTGTAGTGAAAATTTTGTCCCATAAATTTATTTGTTTTTATTTTCATTGATAAGTAATTATAATTAAGTGCAGTGGCGGCTTAATGTTGTCCTTTCTGCCTTGCAAATAAACCGAGTTTTCTTAAATGAGTGACAATATTATTAGTTTGGTTTAAACAGATGCGGAGCTAAAATTGCCTTTGGTGAATGGCACAATCCAGATAGAAAAGGTCAACATTTACGGCAAAACATTTTTTTTTAATGAATATGTTCTAAAAAAAAATTATAAATAGCTACAATTTTTAAAATGCATTCCTTACAATCGGTTGGCCCCAGAGATTTAGAAAAGGGCAAAATAAAATTTTCATATAATCTAATGAAGGAAGTGAGTGCGGATGTTACTATTCCAGGAGCGAAAAATACACTCCCTTCTCTTATTAGCGGTTATTAGAAGCAATATATATAATTTTCACGAAAAAAGGTTATATTACCATGCATTACCAAAGGAAGGCATGGAATTTATTAGAACTCGACCATTAGGTATTTTACGTGATAAAGAAAAACCTGCATTTCTGTTTAAAAGAAATGGAGATGGTTCTGACAAAAAAAAACTTTATGTGATTGGGAAATTTAAAAATCCAAGATATTTGAAGAATTAATTTATCAGTAAGATACTATTTCAATAAAAGCAGTTGGATGACTATTCCAAACTTTGGATGACATCTTTAAGGAATGGAATTTAGCACTAAAGAAAAAAAAAATTTTTGTTTTATGACATAGCTAGGTTGCCACAAATTTAAAATAGAATTGAAAAATATCATAGTAGTATTTTCCAATTACTATCTCGTTTATTCAAACTTTCGACATGGTAGCTATTTGATAATTTAAATGTAATTATAGAACAGGTAACATGAGAAAACTGATTACTTGTATGGAAGGAAATGACATACGAAAGTTTTTAATTTTTTTTTTTACCTTTTATGGTATCTTTTTCCGGAGAAATTTTGCTTGAAGAGACCTTACAAGCACAATAATCTTACCCATCTCCATTTATGATTCTCATTCCTTTAAGATGTTCTCCAAAGGTTAAAATAGTCATCCAGCTACTTTTATTGAAATAGTGTTTTACTGGTAATTTTTTTATTCTTAAAACATCTTAGATTTTTGAATTTCCCAATTAAATAAAGTTTTTGACAGAATCCATATGCAATTTCTTCTTTGATATAAATTCAATGGTTTTCTTTGGTTTTGCAGGGTAATATAATCATGTTTCGTCAAAATTATATATTGCTTTTAGAAGGGAGTGTATTTAAGATCCGCCACTTCCTTCATTGCAGATTGAACAAAAATTAATGTTGTCCCTTTTTATAAATCTCTGGAGCCAACTAGTTGTTAGATATGCTTAGAATTTTAAAAATTATACGTATTTATATAAGATTTTAAAAGACTATCATTAAGCCATTTCCAGACTAAACTTTTTTTTCAAATCGATTTCCTCGGCATCTTTTCAACAATTTTCTTTATATTTTTAAAGGAGGGATAATTATTTGTCGAATTAATTTTTTTTATTTTGCATGATTTAAAATTTAAAGTAAAATATTCTACAAATTATTATCATTTGGAAATTAAAAAACGAATACCAAAAAAAAATGCCCAGGAAAATGCTTTGAAAAGAAACGTGCCGTCTGGACTTAGTAGCCTTCACAGAAAAAAAAATATATTTATTTCAGTTTCACTTTCAGGTGAACATCGCTAATTTATAATAAAATGCAATGAAATAGCTAAGATTTTTATTTTATCTCCAATTTGAATCGCAAAATTTATATTTAAATAAATAGTAACCTGCAGGCCCGGGCAGGGCCGCATTTTGATTTTTTAATATGCCCGGGGCTGGCCGGGCCTAAAAAATTTTTTTTCAAAAATACAAGGGTCTCGAGCCTATATTTATTTTTTTTAAAAAATACCAGGTCATATATATTTAAATCATCATTAGCTATAAAAATTGAAAATAAATGTAATATATTTTAAAAAAATCCGGAAAGGCCGAAAAAAATTATTTCAAAATAAACCGGGCAGGGCCTGATGATATAAAACGCGGGTCGGGCCGTGCAAATACTGTCTCTCAAATAAATAAATTGTGAATTTTTTTCAATTTCTAATTTTAATTTATGATATTATTTTTTTTACAAAAAATTAAAAGTTTTTTTATTTTATATATTTATTTGAAATCGTATTTAATACAGGATAACTTTTTATTTTCAGTATTTAAAATAAGAATACAAATATCTAGATAAATGCTAATTACAAGTACAAAAAAGTATTTTTATTTAATATAAAATATTCGCGATACTTTTCCAACCATGGTTATTGGTTTAGAAATAAAATGTAATTTAACAATTAATATTTCAATATGAGTAAAAAAATTTCTAATTATTAAAAATGTGCCATTTTTTAAACAAAAAATAATCATATCTTGTAACAGCTGTTCACAATTATGGCATCCAACAAATCTCATGCCTCATGGATCACATTGCCATTCTACAATGGATTCAATTACCATGGATTGACAGAGTACTAAGTTCGGAAAAATCGACCAAACATATCGGCATATCTTTTCGATTCGGTTTAATTTCGCATTTACCCACTTTGGAATCCGGTTCGAAGGGGGATCGTAAAATATCTGAAACCCCTGGTAAACCGAATAACGAAAACGTAGAAAACTATCAAGAAGGTGCGAAGAGCGATATCGAATTTAATGACAACTATAACGATTATCGTCCTTGGTTTAAAGTGAGATTGTATTATAAAAGGGTGAGGGACGTTATGTCCCCTACCGAAGAACCAGCTTCAAATAAGGCAAATGATATGCGCAACGATTCTGCCGAAAAGATTTATTTTCCCGGAGAGAGTGTTAGGTTTTATATAAACTTTTTTTTGCATGATGATAAGTTTTTACTTGCATGATTATTTAACTAATGTTAATTTGCCAATTATCTTTCCGCTAGTGGATCGTTATGGGATATTCATAAACGCAATAATATGGCTTACACGAAATTGAATCTTACAGATAACGCTAACAATTTCCATGGACTCAAATGCGACAATAAAGGTTTAAAAAAAGTTTGTTTTTTTATAGTTGGCGCCCTAAGTTCCTATTATTTTAATTTTTTAATTAAAGAAGAGGAATATTTGAGCCCGATTAGCCTTTAATAATTATGATTCCCCTAATGCCTCCCGGAATCGCTGTTAAAATCTTAAAAAGCCATTCTGATACGATCTTATTTGGTTGCCAATCCTCTCCTTTCATTCCCGGCATATCTTGAGTGTTTCGGCTCGATTTGGATCGTAATTTTTTTTGTATCAGTAGACCGACCTCGCCCATTATTTTATGAAGGAATTTTTTTTAATATAAATTTGCATTATTCTAATTTTTTTTTATAATTTTGTAGCTCGGCCCGTATAAAATATTTTATACAAGTTTTCCCAGATATTCTGCCCTCGAGCTAGGTCTTCCCAGATCACTAATTTTTATTATGTATATTGATTTGAATTTTTAAATTTTAGACGATCTCTTATCCGCCTCGCCTTCCTACTACCGATCTAACAACGACACCCCTGAATTATCGGCTAATATTTACTCCTATCCATTGAGCGCTAGCAAAGATTTAGATAGCAACGACTATTTGGAAACTGAGATGGAATTGTTTAACGGGATTAATCAATACGAAATCAAATTTTCGGTACTTTCTAATTTATATGTATTATAGCTTGTTAGAACGTTTTTATTCAAAATGATAAGGCGTGTTGGCACTTGGCAGAGTTTTTTTTATAAAAAAATAAATTTTAGATGCATTTGTTTTGATATTGAATACCAATAATTATTATCAAATTGTTTTGAATAAATGAAATATAAATTTTTAAAAAAAAAATGTTACTGGTCTTATTCAGATTTGTAAAATATGACCCAACCCGGGTTTTTATTTAAAAAAAATTGGTATATCTACACAATATTTCAGGTGGAAAACAATTTTACGTACATTTTTACCGATCTCGTTCTCGTCCTGGCTTCAACCTACCACTACACCCAAAAACTATCCCAATACTGTCACCAACTAGGCAAAATAGTTTATCCTTGCAGCTGTTCTGTCAATCTGAAAAGACCGCACTTATACTTTTATTCGCTCAAAGATATCGATCAAAGACTGTTGTCCCTTATCGGTCCCGCGAACGTTTCCATACACGAAGAAACCTACTTTAACGATAAACGCACGACCCTTTCCTATGAGTCAGTTTTTCGTGGCTCTAAGCCGCTGGCTGGAATAGAGGAAGATTGGGTTTTATTAGTTATGGCAAAGGATTTTTGCATTCCTTCAAACACAAGCATAAACCTGGTGAAATCGGAAGGGCTTATGATTAAGGTTTGTTTGATAATATTTTTATATATCATATCATATCCTTTAATCAATTACATACATATAATACTTACCTAGACAGAGAATGCCATTTCAAGCGTCTTTGAATTTAAATTAGCTGATCACGCCATTTTGATTTCTCGTATAAGACTTTTTTTTATAAATAAAAGAAAAATACTTGAATTTATTATTATTTTTTTATATAATTTATTTTTAAAGAAAGAAAGAAAGATGAAACTAAAATGGCGTCACCAGCTGATTTGTATTAATGCTCATTTAAATATATGAATCGCCAACTCATTATTTAGACCCTTGATAAAATATTCATCAAATCTTTTTAAGCAATTTACTTAGAAGTTCTAAAGGAAACTATAAATAAAAAAATATTTTAGTAATCCCGTTTAATTGGAAAAATACTGAAGAGAACGTTTTGCCCTCTTCTTAATGATGCCACTGTGATTTAAACCTGGAAATTTTTTTTGGGGGAAATCAAAAAGAATTAACTAAATTAAACTTTAATCACTTATATATATTTTTTTATTGATTTTTATATGAGATGGGATATGCGTATATATTTTATTAGAAAATACATTGGTGTACTAGATATATTTCTGCTCTCTTCGGAGGTGAGCTATATTGCAATTCACCATTGTAATACAAACGTAGTTTTTAATTGAAGTTAGTGGTTTTTTTTATAAAATTTTTAGTCTTTTAAGACTTTTCTCTTTTTTTAGAAAATAAATAGACATAATGACCCCTTTAAAATTTTTCCAATTTTTATTTAAAGAAGAAAAATAATAATCATTTTTCCACTGCTTTCTATGTGAAAAAATAAATACAATGAAAAATAATGGCAACTCTATAATATAAATAACACAAATAATATAATTGATATAAATAAAAATAAACGCTAATAATAATGCCTTAAAAGGTGAGTTAAATTATAATTATATAATACTTTAAACAAAGGCAACACGTGACTAACTACTAAAACCAATCGTAAATGTATCAAATAATAAAATAATATTTCCAATATATAATTCTACGCGAAAACCCTATACCTTTAATAGGTTTATAACTATAAATCGATCTACTTGGCTCAATCTAGCGCGTGGCAAAGGAAAATCCGCTGAGGATTGATTCACGATTCTGCTCTACTTGAAGGTTAGCTTTATTTCCAAGAGAGAAAACCTGAGTCAGATATGTTCATTTTCAACTAAAAACTCGGTTAGCCCATTTTATAGCCCGTTAAAAAATTGGCCTAAAGGGCTTAAAAAAATCAAGCTATTACCAACTATTATCATCGCAACATTCAATTTTTGCGAATTTTGGACATCAGCCTAATTAAAAATTATTACCTACTTCCACCCAACTCTAAATTTAATATTGATTTATTCTTTACGTCAGAGGTCTATCATTCTTTTACCGAAGATTCGGGCTATTTGCGGCAAAACTTAAAATATTTACATTTATTATATTCCTTTTTTTAACACCCCCAAGTCATTTTTTAATATTTTTTTTAGATATTACATATATCTTATCGATAAGAATTTTTATGCCTATTTCTTCAATTACTTTGATTAACTCGGACATTGCTCTCTACATCCCCCTTCTAAACCAGTGGCTCAACCCTGAAAGTTCTGGAGAAAATCCCTCCCCCCAAAAAAGAAGCAGCAACTTTTGTAAGGTTCGCCCTTTCTCAATTATAATATTGAAAATGATATAAAGTCATCCTTACTACTACGTCGTGATTATTGATAGAAAAATAAATTAAAATATCCATCGATTTTTTTTAAAAAATACTTTTTTTCAAATATTTACCCCTCGCACTTTTTTTTTACAAAAATACCATTTTTCTAAATTCCTTCTATATTACTATATTTAGTTTCCTAGTGATAATGGCTCACAAGGCAAAGATGCTCTGATAACCCTTAATTTGGATTTAGCCATTGAACCTCGTCATATACTAGTAATGCGCTGCAAGATGAAGGCCTATTTTTACGATAAATTTTCCGATCAGGACAATGAAGGATTATCGTATTATGATCATAAAGTAACCAAATTTTATGGGGGGCGGGGGGGGGGGGGGTGATTACATAATATGCTATTTATATTTAAACTGTCCGACATTTTGGATTTACCTTACGGAACACAATATTATTGGATTACAAAAAATATATATATATTAACAGTATTTTGAAAGTGGATTATAGTTGTGAATTGATGGTATTATGTTTGCCGATTTTTGCTTAGGACTGTGTCCAAAATATCAAAAAATTCGATTCTTTAACTTTTGAAACTTTATCAATGATTTTTTTAATTACCTCCAATAAGGTGTCTGTCGTGCCCTATCCTGAAGTGTATCTCTGAATTTTATGAAATATGTGAATCTACACTACAATAATAATTATTATACCTTTTTTAAAAAAAATAATACATATATTAGATAGAAATATCGGGTCCGTGGTGTGACGAAGAGCCCATAATACAAAATTTGAGATTCTTCCCCCCTTTCACTCTCAAACAAACCGCCACTAGTAGCGGTCTCAATAAAAAGTACATCCAGTTACTCGTCAAATGTAAAACCGAAAATTCAACCTTCATCTTATCGGCTCCCGAATTGGAATTGCCTTTAAATAATGTTAACGTGAAATCGTTGAACGTACCCAAAATACCCTTGGTATAATTGATTATTATTTATAGTTATTTTACATAGAATCTTAATGTTGGTCGGAAAATGAAAAAGGATCATTAATATTACCTAAAATCAGGTGTCTTAGTAATTTTTGCTATAAGAATCAGAAAATAATTTTTTTTTGGATAAATTTACTAGAGATCAACTTAAATGAATAAATAAAAAAGGTAATAACCAAAAACCAGAGCGCATCTTTTGTTTGGCTCTTGGACATTTTGCCTTCCATCTCCGCAATTTCCATTCCTTCTTCGTCATACATCAAAGCGTTCATTCGCTTTAACTACAATCTGACCAATAATGAACCGATTTTATCTTCGATAACCCCCGATTCTAGGCTAGTTTACCCCTTCACCTTGCCTAACTTGACCACTATATTTACTATCAAAACAGTTGTATCACCTTGGAGAGATAATGATGATCCATGCCGCCATAGCATGATATCGAGGGGTAGAGGAGATGGGAATCAGCATTTCGATAAAGAATTTGTTACAAAACGTAACGATGATCATCTTAACATTTCAGGCGATATAGAATGCCTAAATATAGGATTCCCTTGCCTTTTTCGCGTTAATTTAACGAATATCGTTTTTCCCGAACGTATCAATGAAAATAATCAAACTTCTAAAATGACCTTCAAATGCAAAGTTGTCTGCGATCCCTGCGTTTGGAAATTATACCCCCCTGACATTCCCAATAGTTGTGCACACAATTATTCAGGTTTTTTAAAAAAAATATTTTTTTTATTATTCTCTTTTAAGGCTACACTCTCTTCCTTTTTTTATAGCTTTGATCTAATTTTGATAAAACAGCTGGGCTTAGAGTAAAAAAAAAGAAATCGGTAAGGTGACTATGATCATTTGCATAGGCCTGGTGTGGACCAGGTCTTATTTATTTATGAGATTACTAGACCCCTGATTGGATAAGAACATTAATATATACGCCATCATTTTATTATAAAAATTCATAGGCGTCACTTTATTTTATTTAGTCACTTACAAACAAAAAGTCCAACTAACTATTTATAAGCGTATTTAGCCTACAAAAAATTTCTAATTTTTTTAAAATAAATATTTTAATATTTTTTTAAAAAAATCATTTTTATTCCAGAAATATTCACGATATCACCTGAGTCCGGGTCCGAAATTACTTTGGACAAGATTATTTATCCAGTTTCGAAAGGTTATTACCCGGCTCCTTCCATTAAATTATTCAAGTTCGATAATAAAATAGAATCTCTAGACCCAATTCATACCTATAATTATTCTTCTGGCATTCAATATCAAGTCCTTCCTATCATCCCTTTTAAATAACCAAATAATATTACTTATAAACCAAATTTATATAAAAAATATTTATAATATAACTATGTTGCGTCCTTCCAAAATTATAATACATAAATTTATTTATTTTTAATATATTGTTAATTAAATCCTCAGAGTCAGAATATTATATATACTATATACCGTCGCATGAAAGTTATAATGTTTATATCCATTTATTTTTAATTGTTCAGGCGAGCATTTAAAAAAATATATTTCTTGCATTTTATGTAAAATTGCGAATAAAGGATTATTCTCAATTATATATTTTAAATTTTTTTATTGTGGATATATAAGAATATAGTGGTTAAAGAATTCATTATATATATAAAAAAAATGGCATCTTTCAAAAAAGTGGATATAGAACCCTATAATTCTCAGTCGATGTTAATGTTCCACCAATAGCTTCAAATATTTTTGTATTGCTTTTTTTGTATATGATTACAGAGTAATATTTATATTATCTCGTTCATTATATATCTAAAAAAATAATAAATTGGCAATCTATTTAATTTCATTCTTTTTTTTGAGCATCAATTCAACTCCTTGTCTCGTTATTGTATATATTACATATAGAGGTCTAGAGTTAATTTTGTATGCTAAACGCTTTGATTCCCCAGATTCAAATGTGGATTAATTATGATAATGCGCATTAATCAGCAATGGATAATTGTGATATTACCAAGTTAAAAAAAATTAATATTTTTGAAATAGTTTTTTTTGGTCAAATTAATTAGTTAATTTTTATTTGTTAATAATTTTCCATTCCTTTAATTGGAAGCACATATATCCGATACCAGCTCCAATAATAATTGATAAGAAGAACCAAATATTAAGCGACATCGAAATGCTCATCAGAGTCAGTCCTATGAGAGTTTGCAAAGTCACTATTATTGATTGAAGAATATGGTCCCATATATTGAATATTATTCTATAAATATAAAAATATATGAATTCAATGGAGTTTATCATTTAAAATCAATTCTGAGAGGAATTGTGTTAACAAGCGAATTAATTTTCTTTCATTTTAATAGAGATTCTAGATTGTCAAACTATTGAACTTAATATGTTGTATACAACTATTATTTTTTAAAAAATTGTTAACCTTTCAGAATAAATATTGAATTTTGCTTTTATAAATGTTTTTTTTGAAATTTATTTGAAATTTTTTTTAAAAAAAACTGAGAATATATTATCTTAATAATATCCATATTATAATACTTAATTAATACATGCCTATGGGTTTGTAGTTTAGTTTAGCCCATATTATAATAAGCCAACCCTAAATTTTTTTAAATTCAATTCGCCATATTTCTTCCAGACATACCCCGAATAAAATAATCATTGGTTTTTGATAAATTGGATTCAATTTTAAAGGAAATGGTCGGGTGCAAATGTGGAAAATTTGGCACATTTCTAGTTCCGGAGAACGTTTTGTATTAAAAAAACGCATTTAAAAACTTCCTCCGAAAAAGAGTTTGTTTTAGCTCCATTTAATATTTTACATACCGGCTAGCGAAAGCATCAACCCATAGTACTACATCATAAAATTAACAAGGATAATAAACCTATTTCGACAATGGCACAGAATATTATCATCACTCAAAGGGTAGGTTAGGATGTCTGGCTCGTCCGAATAAATATTTTGGATTTTATTTAAATTGACCAAATTTTCTACAGTATCCTGATAACTGGGTCTGCTATACTCGCGAGTGGAATATGATTTAGAAAAGTGTCTATCAGTATTTGATGCCGAATTTCTCCTCCTAACCTTATTTCCTCGGGGTATAATTGATGAGCCGTGTTCGCATATAAATAATTTGTATTCATTATTCTTGAACACGTATTTACTCCTATTGAAAAATAGCGGGTATTTAAATAGATATTCTTTTAATGATTTTATAGCTTCATATGAAAACGCGATTATGGCAAAGGCTATGCAGCTAAAGATAAACTCTACAAATTCAAACAATAACTAAAAAAAAATTTTTTTTTTAAATACCCTTGTTATTAGTTATGGACCAACCTGGCCATAATATCGATCCAATATAGCCCCATCTAAATATCATCTGTTCGTTCAGAATAGTTTATTATAATATTTTATTCGAGATAATCCATATAAAATTTTAAATAAATGTTAAAAAAAATGAATTAAATTTATTTTTTTTGGAAATAAATAAATAAGTAGAGGCCAAGGTATAAATTTTTTTTGTTTTGTAATTGTCATTGAAATCATTTTTTATTTGTAAAAGATATAAATCAAAATTCAAATAATCATTTTAAGATATTTTAAAGGCCTTCTTTAAAATTGATGCTAATTAAAGAGACATTATTTTATCTACTATTTTTAAAAATACCTCTCTCATCTTATTGTTTTTTGTAATGTTGTCAGTGCAGTCAAAAAAACTTAGATATAACCGATTTTAAAATAAACGGCTATTAAAGCCAAAATAATAATTACCTTCTCGAGAATTAGTCAAAAGAGGGCTAAACATTTCTGTCATCTATTTTATGTAACATTTCGAGTAATTTATTTGGGTGATTAAAATCTTGATTTAACCGCGTTTAACAATCAGCCAAATCAAGGTTATCGCCAACATTACGAGCAAATTATAAATAATTATATAACGGGACCGATAATTTAAATGGCAGACTGAGAAACGTGCGTATAATATTTAGAGGCCCGGCCGTAAATATTTTTTTAAAATAAACCTAGATCGTGGCTAAATTTTTGTTTTTTAAAATTATTTAAGCCGTGCCGAATATTTTAAATCGCCATTATTATTATATAAAATGTATGTAAAAATTGTGATATTATAGAATAATATATCGTATTCATTCACTGATCATTAAAATATTAGTTGAAATTAAATGATTACCTGAACGATAGAAAAATTTTAAACACACAGGCCGAAATTTTTTTATACACAGGTTAAAAAAATTTTCTAAATCTGGGCCGGACCTTGCGGATAGTTACTCTTCAGGTCTCTGATAATATTTAAGCTATCCGGGCGGGGAAGAAAGTATGACAGGTCAAACAACTTGTGATATAGTGTAACCCAAACAGTCGACTATAATGATTGGTTGAAAGAAAAAAATAGACTAATAATAATTTGATCTCGATCAACCCAAAGAAACTCTCTTTTTACTTGCTATCACACTTGCTTTAATCACGATTCAAAAATACAATATGTCATTTTTCTAATTAAAAATAGCGAAGATATTTCGTTGGAGCCGATTTTCAAGATCAAACAGCTGAACCATTTCTAAGGATAAAACGAAACCCTAACCAATTTATTTTGGTTTCCAATCCGCGGAAATTTTCTCACAGTTTTCCCAAGTGATAATTTTTTTTTACCCAGCATGCAATCCCAAAAAAAGGTGGGGGTAGAGTAGAGGTTTAGATAGGCCGATTTTTAACTCGCCCACCAATTATCAAAAAATTTTTTTTAATTCACTAGCTCATGTTACTTGAAAATTTTCTCATCTACTCGCGAATTTATTTAAATATTTTATATAGCCCACTTCACCCAATATTTGAAAATTATTTGACTAGTTTTTGGTTCGATTTTTTGTTATATTTTTAGTTGAACTTATAAAAATAAACAATACTGTAAAATAGAATTTAATTTTTAATAATTATAAGCCCATCCTACTTATTCCGCCACTAAGATATTTAGAAATCGCCAATGTTTTAAAAAGGGAAATAAAAAATAAAATTTTCTATGCCAAAAAAAATTAGAATAACAATTTTTTTTTGCAATTAGCAAAAATTTGATTTAGATTTTTTTAAAATTTCGAACACATCTTTTCTAAAAAATTCATCCACCATAGACCTTTTTTATAGCAGACGGCCACCTATGAAAAATAATATTTTAATAAATAAAAATATGGAAAAATTTTAACATATGATAGACCGTCTTAACATTTAAAATGGTATAACAGTTGCAGTATAAAATTGTTTTTTAAACCTAAATCATCATAATTTCAAATTACCCTTTATAAATAACAATATATAGCAATTTTTATAAAATCTATTTTATTTTGCACTCATTTATCGTATTTACGATTAGAGATCCGCAAAATCCGCCACAAACGGGCTCTGATCTAGAGGTTTGCATTGAGCGGGTTTTAAGCTCGCGCGTGGGCGAGTGAACTGGTTAAAAATTTTAATAGAACGGGTAGGCAGGTTTAGAAAAATATTTGAACTATGGATGGGCGGGAAGGTTAAAAAAATATACAACTTTTATTTTTTATTTATAATCATTTAAGTAAACATTTAAAAAAATAAACTCCCTGAAATTTCAACATTTTTAATACGAAAGTACTGATAACTGAGAATCTTGTCGTTGGAAAAAATTATTTAGGCAAAAAATATATCGAAAACATGTTGAATTTGATTTCTTGATGAAAATCTGATTTTACCCGTTTCCCCAAAGGCAAAGAGATTTATTAAATTATAAATGCAATGTTTGAAATAGATAGCACCCACGTAAAATTAAACAACAGATGGGAAGATGTGACTGTAACAGAGGTGGCATTACCTAATAGCAAAATATTTAAATCTTAAAGTAACGAGTTTTTGTATAATTTAGCAAGATTTTAGGCTACTTAGTTAAGTTTAAATTTACAATTTATAAACAAATAATTTTAATTACTTTTTTAAATTTATTATTAATGGTTTCACTTTTTATTTAGATATTTCACTTGAGTAGAGGATATACTTCAAATAGATATCCTACTTTGATGGAAATTTACAAGAAAAAGATTTATCAAAGCTATCAAGATTATCTAGAAACATATTGGGGATTCCAGCAGTGGTTCTTATGAACGAGGTATTAGCATTGCTGGAAGGTTTTTAATTCAATAAATATTAATTTATATAATTATATAAACATTTTATTAGATAATTCCTCATTCGTAATTTAAATTGAATAATTTTTTTATGATTAATATATCAATTTTCTAAATTATAAAACTTTTTTGTAAGGATATAGCACTGAAACTAAATCATTTTTTTTTATTAGATCCTTAAAAAAATTGAAAGAATGAGCTTATTTAAGTTTCATAGGGGCGGCATTGGTTAATTTTTTTTAATTAATAATGGGCGGATAGCTATAAAATTTTAGACTAAGGGCCGGGAGGACGGGTATATATTTTTTTAAAATAGGCGGGGTTAAATTTTTTAAAAAATATTGCGGACGGGCTTGTGGAATAAAATCCCACCTATTGTTGATCTCTACTCTAAGCAGATATTTTTGAAAAACTCTTTTTGAGCTGGGTCAGACCTAATTTTTTTTGAAAAATACTCAATTTTATGAAATATATTGACGTATTTTAAATTTTTGCAAGTGACAAGTTGCCAATATTTTTATTTGTAGAATATTTTTTTTTACGATTCAAAATATTAAATATTCCTATATTTAAATTTTGCGCTGGCTTAGGTGGACAAACAATTTTTATTTGGGGTCAGGCTTTTTGAGAGAAATAAGAAAAAAAATTCATTCAGAATTGGGCCAGAAAATTTCATAAAATAATTTCTAGCCATGATTGTAAAATTGGGCCAATGCTCACTATTATTTTCTACAATTGACAAAATGTAACTAAACATAAATTTAAAAATAAATTATATTTAATATATATGAAAATATTGCTTTGTTGAAGTGTTGTTTATTTGAATTTGAAAATATCATCGATATTTTTTTTGGTCTGAAAGGGGTCCAAACCGCTAAGCTAATCCCATAGCTATGTCACTGAATAATGTTGTTAATAAGCTCGGTTTAAGTGGATTTTAGCCAAAATAATATTAAGTAGGCCTCGAGATTTTGCTCATAAACGGGAGAAAGGTTTGGACCTCTACCAAATTTCGATGCTTATGGATAAACTTAATAGGGCTTTTAACACTACCACTCAGATGCGTAGCCAGCAGGATGGTGGGGGGGGGGGGTATTCCTTTATACCCTAATAGCAAAAAATTTTGAAAAAATATAAGTGTTTCTTGAATTGTGAAAAATTAATTTAAATATTTATTCCTTGAATATCATATTTTATGTCAAGAAAATTTTAACGTTTATTTACTTACATTTTTTTTAACCAAATAAATTTATTTATTGATAACTAGAAAATTTATAGTGTAAAATGTTCAAATATCTAAGACAGAATTTGAATATAATTCTGAGACTTCTTGTGCTACAGAAAGAAAGAAAGAAACTGCAAAAAATATGCCAGATAAGATAGAGCCTTCAACATCATGCTGTCATATCATTTTTTGAATCTATAAGAACCTATTTTGAGTACCCTTGGAGAAATATCAGAATGGCCTGAAATTGATATTTCATCTGAAAATTATATTATTCGATTTAATATGACTGCCGATTTTTTTATTGGAATGTATTAAATTAATTATTTATCACACAATAATTTTACGCATTATTTTTCAAAAAAAATGATATAAATTTAAGCGGAAGTTATGAGAATGGCGAATATTATTTTATAACTTAGAAAACTAAAAGCAAATATCGATGAAAAAATTTCGCGAGATTTATTGAGGCGAAAGCGAAATTATATAATTTTGAAATTCGAAAGCCTCAACTTTCACTGATGAACAAAGCGTTACAATTTTAAAGAGGACAATTAATAACACTGTGTGACAAGAAAAATGGGAAAAGATAATAAAAACAAGTTTTGGTGCAGAATTTGACGCTGAGTTCGAATCCGTTTTCCAAATTTTTCCTACACGTCAAATTTTAAAAATATTACCGTATAAAGACAACTTTTCGAAATCTCAAAAATGGTAAAATTTAGGTCTTTAGCCGGATATATTTTAAAAAGTATCGAATAAAAATCCCTGAAAATTGGTGAGTGTTAAACTTATATTTCTTTATAAATTTACTAATTTTTTATCGATTGGTTTTTGAGAAAAATGGTAAAGAATTTCGTTTTGGGGGTCTTAAGTTAATTTAAATTACTATCAAAATTATTAACTTTAGAAGATAAATTTTATATAATTTTGCTTCAAATATGTTCAAGATTATATATTAATTCTAATTATGTTTCAAAAATAGTCTATGCCATGAAAATTCAATCAAAATCTATAAATTAAAAAAGTCGGTACAGATATTTTCGAACTTTTTAATTTATACACTTTTATTGAATTTTCTCTGCATAAAGCATTTTTAAAGCAAAATTAAGGTAATATTTATCTTTTTTAGTTGTATTTAGTAATATTTTATGCATTTATGATCAATTTATACCTAAATCAGATATCTGTACCCACCTTTTTAATTTGTACTCTTTTTGAATTGAGCATTTTTAAAGCAAAATTCATTTAAAATGCAATAATTGGTAATTTTTTCATATTTTTTATTAATATTTTTCTTTTTTAGATGTATTTAAGAATATTTGTTTTTTTAATCAATTTATATCAAAATATTTTTCCAATGGAGTACCTTGAACCCGTAGTATGGGCAATAAATAATAATGCCAAATAACGAGTAGGAAGAAAGGATAATTTTTTTTTCATGCTTAGTTTTTCATAAACATTTAATTTCTTTCATTAATTTTTTTTTTAAATTAGATTTTGTGCAGTGTAGCCAAGAGAAAGAAAGCCACAATAAATAAATATATTAAATGTAAGCTATATTAAAAAAGATTTTATAAATAAAGGTAAATTTAAAAAATATAGGTTGTTTAAAAATTGAGTAAGGATTTTATAAAAAAAAATGTATAATAATAAGGAAGGTTTGCTGCAAAAATTAAGATATTTTTTTAGTTGTAGGGATCATTAGAACCGAAGTTATAAACCTTCAAAAAGTGCTAAAAATGACCTTTTTGGCCACTTTAACCTAAAATAAGACGTGCTAGAAAAAACTGTCATAGAATATGCATAAAAACTGTCTTAAAACATATTTATTTTTCTCCCAAAAAATCAAGTCGAAATTTGTCACACAGTGTAATTACTATAAAATAACAGTTTTTATTCCGCATTTGAATACATGAATGATTTGGTCTACTTTACAATTACAATATCTTATAACCCTAATTGATCTGAGTATATATTAAATCTTGATATTGAAAAAATTTAATATTTAGTTAAATTTAATTCAGAGGATATAAATGTATCTGAAAGCCAATTAATATCAGAATTCAAATCTTGGTATGAAAGATTAATTTTAATGGATAATCCTCTAAGAAACACAGTGGAGGCATTGCATCTTTATATTTTATGAGTTTTTCGAAATATTTTAGAAATACTGTCTAGCAATAATTTTCTTCATTACAGATAATAAAAACCTACCTCAAAAGTACTGCATTTTAAAGCAACGGAATGTACTACTTTATATAATATACATAGTTTCCCCATCACACAACAAATTACTAAAATTATTTGTGATATTTTGATTAACTTTTTAAATCATTAACATGTTTAATTTTATATTTTATTGTGATATACATCCTGGTATATAGCTATAATATTTTTTAACAATATTATATTTGCTAATATATATTTTGTATTTACCAATATATTTTTATTTGTGCTAGAAATTATCATATTTTCAAATATGATTGGTTCTAATAAATTTTCAAAAGCTCCAAAAAAAATCCCCCTTCCCCTTGTACAAAATTATTGGCAAAGTACCTTCTTGTCAATACTCCAAAACACTTAAATTGCATATATGCACACCGCATTTGAAGAAAAAGATGGATTGGATAAAAAAAATAACCATTCCATACATAAAAATCAGATATTATTTATCTCATATTTGATCCTCAGGTTCTCTTTATAGGGTTGAGTTGTATAGAATTTTAAACTAAATAACTTAATAGTGCAATAAAAAAAATTATTTGAATTGAATATGAATAATAAATTTTAATATGCAAATTCTTTGACTCATTTAAACAAATTGAATACAAATTTTGAATAGGCCTATTTTATTACCAGAGAAGATAGAAATAAGCAAAAGATGAAGATTTAAATATATTCCATTTATATTATAAAAAATTTGTGGTAAAATATTAATTTTTTTTGGTTGGAAAGCTTAAATTTAGGAATACACAAATAAAGTGTAAAAATAAACATTGTACAACCTTTATTATAAATCTAATACACCAATAATAAAATCAGTATTTTAAAAGCAATATTTATTCTGATGCAAATATCATTTTATAAAACAATTAGTGATGTTTTCGCTTTCTTTCATAATCTAAAAAATATATAAATAATTATTTTCATATTATAAAAACTTACAATATCTGCTGAAAAATAAAACATAAGATAAAAGCATAGCACTAACAGCAAAATGATATGCAGGTGCAGCAATGCCTACTTTAGTATCAATCCATTTATAATGATAATAATGAAAATCTGAAGGAAAAATAAAACATTGAAATATATCCATTTTATTACTTCGACTACCACAATTATATATAGCACTTGGTGAAAAGGATCGACGTCCCAACCATGACCAAATTTCCTTAAGTTTCAAATCTCCAAACTTTATATCAGCTTAAATTAGATGAAATATAAAAATAATCATAAGGATTTACGTTTTCCATAGTAACGCCATGGATAATATGGCCCATGAATTTTAGGTTCATATTCTGGAGGATAATACCCTACCCCTTTAGGATTTTTTGCAATATCAGTCATGTGTTGTTAGATTGATCAGTGTTTGTTAGAAATAAAATTTTGATGATTAGCTTGTAATAAATTTAATTTTTTTTATCAATTTTAAAAGTTGTAGTAAATAAACAAATAAGTTATCTTTGCTTAATATATTAGGAAAATAATTTTATCCATAAGGAACAATTTTTTTATATAACTACCAGTATTTGACAGATGTCAATGAAAAATGACTGATGATACTTTAACTTCATTTGTATAAAATTCAATAGCTTCCTAATCATCTAAAACTAGAATGTTGCGGAATAGTTTACTATGTTTAAATTTGGCCAGAAAAGGAAATTTGAAATGCGTAAAAACATGTATTAATCAAAATATTACAAACTTTAATGCTATCAGTCTAAAATACCTAAGCCTAGACACAAGTTATTTTTAAAAAAATAATACTTTTTATGTATATTCTAGTTAATTATGCAAAAAGGCAAGAATCACTACATTCAGATAATCATAAGCCTACAGATGTGACTTATGAAGAACTTTTAAAACTTCAGAAGAACAATGCTCAAGATTTATTATTAATTGATGTAAGAGAACCAAGTGAAATTGTGGAAACGGGTACAATTGATGGATCTATCAATATACCTTGTAAGTTCATTGTTAAATTAATATAGCAAAAAAAATTTTTTAATAATAGTAGAAAAATTGAAATTATCTTTAAATATGACAAATGAAGAGTTTTTGTCTAATTATCACAAGAAGAAGCCAAAAGTTGCTGATAAAAACATTATTTTTTATGGTTTAATTGATATTAAAAGTAGCACCGCCTTAGAAATAGCACATAAAAATGGTTTTGTAAAGTAATTATTTAGATATTTTCATTTCAATAACTAAGTGGAGTTAAGATAAATAATGATTGTTATTAACTTTCCTATTAATATTAAGAATATTTCATTTATTTATTCAAGTAAACCAATTGAATGACACCTTAAAAATGAAAAATTTGAAGAATAAGCTTGGAGATAAGATGAAAAATATTAACAACCCAAACACAAAAATTATATTTCATTGTATGAAAGGGATACGGAGTGAAGAAGCTATGAAAATTGCACATTCTCTTGGGCTTAAACAGTAATAAATTTTTATGATATTATATCATAACTGTAAAGCAAAACATGTCTTATAATTAATGGCACCTCTTATTTCATAAAATCTTATATACTGGGAATACACCCAAAACCAGGATATTTGCTCTCAATGATAAAATAATATTCATTATGCTTTTAGAAAAGGTTATGTTTAGTATTATAGTAAATGGGTATTATATCATTTTAATAAATATATCATTACCCCATAAAAAAAATCCTGGTTATGGGAATTTCTGCTACAGAGCCATTTAATTTATGCATACTTCTAAAAATTTTTTTATGTCTAATGAATATTTTAAGCTCAAGAAAATGTTTAACAGATAAAAATATAATCCTATAAATATGTTACCCCAGTGCATGATGATTAAATTTTTATTAAATAATTTTCCTACTAAATAATAATTTATTATTAGAGCAAAAAATTATACTGGAGGATTTGAAGAATGGCGAAAGAAGCAAAAAAACTGAACCACACTTACTAAAACGAATTTTTTTTTAAAAAAAATGTACACTATTGTGTTATACAGTATTGATTTCTTTCACCATTTTATATTAATGTAAATATATTTTTATTACAAAATTTGCATAATGTTGTATCCATTATTAGATGAATTTATGAGTTATATGTCTAGATAATCAAATTTTATTGATTATAAAATTACACATAAAATTAGTTGTCTTTTTTTTGTTGTTTTCAAGGTCGACTATCAATTTAATTTTAGTTTAACAATACTCGTTAACACCATTTGATCCTTTTTATTGAAAAGGGATTGGCTTTATAAACTTAAAATTGGCAAAGCTTTAAATTATTTTTTAAATATTTTTTTATTTTAAATCGTTCCATCATTCAAATTCAGAAATATATAAAACATAATTTTATATGATATATACATATATAATCTAATTGATATTCAGTCCATCATTTTTTTAAATTTTTTCTTCTTTTTATGTTTGTTTTCGATATTTCCACTGTTCAAATGCCTCTCCTTTTTCAGAACCTTTTTCCTTTCGGTTTTTTGTAAGCTAAAAAAAAATTAAAATGTTTAAAAAAACTTATCCATTTTCCCAACTACTCAATAAGGAGATTTATATTAAATAGACGAATTTATTTAAAAAAATAAAAATAACCTTCCAACACTTATAATATTCAACTCCGTATCTTTGACATCGACAAGAGCCATGTCCCACTCATGTTCACTACCCTTAATCGCGTAGCGTCCAAAATTTTGGTTTAAAAGTTTCATTTTTTCACATTCTTGCTTGTGCTTTATTTCTTTAGCCATCAAATCCTTAATATATATTATGCATAAGAGAAGTTTTATTTCAGAAAAACAATATTTAAGCGTGTAGAAACATTGTACTTATAAAAAATATTTAAAATTCTATGTTAATAAAAAAATTAAGCTTAACCAACCTATTACAAAATGCCCGTGAGATATATAAAAATAAATATAACCAAAAATTATATGAAAGTTTAAATTAAATAATATAAACCAATTCTGTTTTTAGGTCCATTTTGGTGGGTTCCATGATAATTTCTTTATCCATATCTTGAAACAATTGTTTGTCAATCGATCTTTCAACAATGGAATTTAAATACTAAAAAGTAAAGAGAGGGATAGAATGAAATTCATATATTAACTTAGCCTTGCATGGATATAAAAAAAAATTAAAAATATCGGTCAGAATAATTTTAATATATATATGTGCTGTTATATTTAAAAATAAATTTTTCAGGTGGGAATGGAAATAATTTAAATAACAGACCTTGTTTCTACTTTTGACTAGAAATTAATTTCAGTCATATATTTAAAATGCTTAGATCTTAACATTTTAAAAGATGTCTCAGGCTTAAATGTTAAAATGATTTAATCTAGATCTTTCTGATCCCAAAATGATAACAATGACAAATAAAAAAAACATCATTTTAAAATGATTTCAATATTTTCTAAGATAATAGCGCCAAGGACGATGAAATCTATAAGGCAGCTTCTACGTGAAATGGAGGCACTATCCCAGACTATTATTTCTTAACTATATATGGATACAAATCGCTCCTGCCCCCTGCATTCATTTAGATATAGCCGTAAATTTTTTGGATCAAGCCTGGGCATATTTATTTTTATGCTGCTAGTCCCAGTTTTAAATTGTGATCATTTTATGGTTAGGCAAGGATTATTAAATTTTATTTTAGCTGTCCTCAGGCTCAATGATGCGTTTTGTACAAAAAGAATATAAGGGTCTAGATAACATTTCTAACTAATTTATTCTCAAAAAAATTTTTTTATCACTTAGTATGTAAATTATTGATTAATAGGGTAAATGTAGTCACAATGTATTTAAGAAATATACTTAATAATGGAAGTAGTTGCAAAGAAGAAGAGAAATTAGAATACAAAGGCGAGTGGAAACTTTTAAATGTATACAAAAAGTATGAAAGATAAGAGAGAAATAGGTAATTTCTAGACTGAGGACACATCCACTATTTCTATATTAGTCTATGGAGGGGGCGGACATATTAGAGAGACCAAAGAAACTAGGGAAGAGAAAAATAGATAAATAAAATAAAAGAAACAGATGACTATAAACAAATAAATGTCTCATAAACAAAAGAGGATACCCTCTACCTCAGAAACATTACAAACTCAAAAACTATGGAAAAATTACAAAAACTAAGTTAAAAAGAGCCAAAGAAAAATTTTTAGCCCAAATAGGAAACGCAAATCACAAACTATTCCTCAAAAATGTCATTAATATCTTAACTCATATAATGGGAATGCATAGAAGTACAACGTATATGTAATTAAAAAATATGGGACGGACTGATTTAAATTTGTACATAGTCAATAAGATAAATAAAAGCGGAAGTCAGTGAAAAAATAACTTACACTTGATATGCGCCTAATTAGTCTATTAAACAATCCTAATATTTGGCTTGATGGTAAATTTAATTCTTTTTCCAAATTATCTACGGTTTTGTGTTGCAAACCTATTCCTACCAATATCGACTTTCCAACGTAAAAATATAAAAAATAATTAGAATTTAAATTGTTTTAAATATAATAAAAGGTTTTTTTAAATCGTAGTATTAAATAAGAACAGAGATTGAAAAAAAAATCCTCAAAGATGTTTTTTTAAAAATTTTTGAGCAAAAAAATCTTTGATTTTTTTTTAAAAAATTATGATTTCTTCATAAAAGATTTTTTTATAGATAAAAATTATAAAGTATTTGGAATTTTAATTAAAATTTGCTTAAGCATTCTCAAAAAAAAATTTTCATTATGAAGAGCATTTCAAACTGAATAAGATTTCATATCGCTTTCAATATAAATCATATTTTCACACCTGTTGCACCAAAGTGAGTTGCAAATCCAATAATTTGTCAGTAAAATAGAACTGAGCTATCACGGGGATCAGATCCATGATCAAATGATAATCCACCAAATTTTGCGAATACATGGTGAGCCGTTTAATGTCAGAAAGGGTAAAATGGTGGATGAGTTCTAGGTAGTTTAACGGGCCTTTTTTCAAATTAGTAAAATGACAATAAAAAAATTTTAGTATGCAAATCTAAAAGTTAACATATCTATGTTAAATTCTAAATTTTTTCAAAACAATTTGAAACTAATTATATCGAGCATTATATTATTAAAAAATTATCAAAAGAACAAATCAATTGTAATATTATTTCAACAAGAGAATAAATTATATTCAATAAATTTAGTATATATTATTATTTAACAAAAATAAAGTTAATATATAAATTTTAGCCAATATAATAACTAGTGATCTGCGTCAGGCCATTTTTCAAGCTCAGCCCGGCTCGAAATTTTTTATAAAGTTTTGCCGCCTCGGTCCAAACCCGAAATTTTTTTAAAAAATTTAACGGCTCGGCACGAATTTATTTAAATATAGAAATTAATTTTTATAATTACTCTAAATAATTATATTTTATATGGCGTCTAGTTTCTATAAATAAAATCAAATATTTTCAATATAACTAAGAAACTCATCATAAAATTTATAAATTTAGATATATTTTTAAAAAAATCCAAGGCCCAACCCGACCGGCCCGATTTTTTTTAAAGAAATAGGGTTCGAACCGAGTCTACTTTTGCTAATCTCTAATTATAACACTAATATTTTACTTTTATAAAATATTAAAGTATCTATATAAAAAAAACCTTTGACTTCGTCTGCTTCCTTAGTTGATTCTTCTCTTTCTTCATCCTTTTCTAACAAAATTACTTTGGGATTTTGCATGAGTGACAATGCAGTTTGTGGACAAAAATGGCGGAATTGAAAGGATAACAACCTTATAAAACGTCGTTTAAAGTCGCGAAAATAGTTGTTTAACCAATCGTTAGTTTTGTGGGCGCCGTTTAGACTAGAGGAAGAGATCAAACGTTTAAGCATTATGCAAGAATGTTCGCCTTTTTAAAACGTATTAATTATTAATAGGTATTTATACATTTCAATAAAGAATGTATTGCGTTAGTTAGGATGAGATTTCAGCCTCCCCCCTTGCAACAATACCTCGTTAAATATTAAAAAGTAGAACATTTATAAATCATAAATATTAATACTGAGAGGAACACAAACGGTCCTCTATAAGGTCGCTACTGTAATAGCAAGAATAGTGTGGTAGGTTTATGCCGCTATTCAAATTACAAAATAATGTAGCTATGTTATAGTTAATCCAATAAGCCTTGCTATTCTAAATAAGGTCTAAATACTCATGTACAGTAAGCGCGGAATACCGAACTGCCACTGAAGGAATAGGTAATTCACTGATAGATCTTATCTGTATAATTTAACATTATATATTTGGTTATGCATTCAGGGTATTTAGGACTAACTATAAATGAGGCAAGTCAAAGCACTTCCCTTTATTTATGAAGCGACCGTTAGTAGCATGCGTCCGCTTTAAAATATGAAACATCATAACTTGAGGAAAAAAAGTGATTCAAAATATTAAGCAAAATTTTATAATAGAATTTAAAACCTGTTAATTCGTTGGCCGTTTGCCTCAAATAAACCGGAACGAAACCGGTTCTTTTCCAAAATCTTAGAAGATCGCTAGTCAGGCCATAAGATACTCCCATATAATCTAATCTGCGAATATGTGTAAAATAAACCAAAATATTATCTTTCCTTTTCTTTTTTTTGAAAAATTCCCTCAAGACAAATATTGATGGATTATATATATCCTTGACACCCTATGAGTAAAATATCAAGGCTTACATAATATTATTGTTTAAAACCTTAATCGGGTTGTTTATTTTAAATGGGAGATCACAATAGGACGCAAATAATATTGGAAAATAAATATTATAACATTTTTCTTTTGTTTATAAGAAGGAATTGATTTATCAAAAAATATGCATTTTGCAAAAGGTGGATATAGAACAGATAATGCTCCGCATACGATATGAGGCCTATAAAATATTTTTTTTCTATTACAAAAAGTACTTATCAGTTATTACAAGAAGTGTAACTACAGGGTAAAATTTGGGGTCAGGTCCAAATATCCCCCCCCCCCTCACAATATTAAAATTATACATTCGTTTCATTTTATGTATTTTTATTTTAATAAAAAATGAATAAATTTTGCAGAATCTATATTTATTTAATAAGGTCACAAAATTGTTATGTGCTACCTGAAGATTCCTAAAATAAAAAAGGAAGAAAGTGAATAATAAAAAAAAAATGTTAAAAGAGTGAAACTAGATAAATGCATTATTGAATGGTCAAAATACTAAGGGGAAATAGGTGGAACAAATTAGGGATCGTATCCAAACCAAAAACAACTTGCAGGGAGACATAAGCACTAATAATCTTTGAAGAAATACTAAAATTTTTACAAAATCAGCAACAAATTTTTTACCAATTCAGGGCATATACCCAGATTGGATTTCGATGGAATCTAAAAATCTAATTGCTAGTCTTATAGGGGCCGATCACTACAGAAGAAGCAGAGGCAAATATATCCTTTAAACATTGGCCACAGATTGAAGAGAGCTAAAAGAACTTTTTTGGAGAAAATTCCTAATACAAAATTTATTCAAACTTAAATGATTCATACAAAGTTTTTAACTACTAAAATCCTTTACATCATTTAAGGAGCTTTTCTCGAAGATTACTCATAATAATAAGTTATTCCAAACCCACACGAGCAAATGAGATGACAATCTGAAACTCATATTATGCAAAAATGCATAGTGTAAACGAGTACCCCCATATATTAATCAGCATTACCAATGATTGGACATTCCCATCTACATCATATTGTCATTCCTACTCCCTATTATCTTCAACTTCCCAACATACTAACAAATATTAACAGAAGACATGATATTATCATCTACTCTAATCACCAATCTCCATATTCCCCTTCTGCTCACTCTCAATTACCTTCAAAGCTCCAACTTACACGTCTTCCAAACATAAATATAGATAGGCTGTTACCTCGAACTAAAGTGGAATCAATTGGTATAATAAATTAACTAAAAAGCCATTGGTATATATAGCGAACTTTTCAAAAAATTTTCCTCCCAATTATGACAAGAGTTTGGACAAGGGAACATGTTGGTCCAATTGGTTCACAACAATTTCAATTAACTTTCCTAAGGTAAAAAAAATCCTAAATATTTTAAAGGCTGGAGAGGTATTTCACTAAATTCAGTGGTATACAAAATACATATTTCAAATAGATTAAAGTCAATAATTTAACCAGATTATGTGGTCTTATTGGTCTCATTTAGAAAGAGTCATATGCCATTGAGGCCATTTTGGCACTAAAAATTGAAATTGAGAGGGTTCAAATAAGAAAGAATCAACTATTTATTGGACAATTTGATTTTATTATCCATACGAGATTGTGGGCAGCATTGGAGGAGATAAGGACATCTACTCATTTGTTAAAACTTTAAATTAGTTTATATTAAAATTATTCAGCTCAAATTTATCACGTTAGTAGGAAATCCCATAAAATTTAGGTTAAATTGGACTTGAACAAGGTTTTATTTTATCCCCGCTATAATTCAACTTCATCATTGATATTATTATTAAAAAAGTAAAAACATCTAGAAAGGAAGAAATCGCGGTGGAAGATATAAATATTTTGTCCTTTACAGATGATATTATGTCTAACTGGAACTACTATGTCCAAACTTCAATACTTAGTCAACCATATAATCATTGAATCTAGGATTTTTGGCTTACATCTAAAGGCTTGAAAACTAAGGTATTGACCTCTGCCAATACATTAACCCATGATAACTTAAAAATAGGAGATGATGATATTATAGAGGTTATCTGCATGAGATATCCTGGAGTTATCCTAGACAATAAAGGTCAAATGAAACAGGATATGATGGCTAAACTAAACAAAGCCAGATTTAAATACAGGTCATTTATGAATATATGGTCCTCAAACCAATTATCTATTCCTTTGAAGATTCGATTATTTAAAATTTTAGCCCTTTCCTCGCTTTTCTATTGAATAGAGACGTGGAATATTGCTGTTTCTCATAGTAAGAAGATGCAATCATTTATTAACAAACGCCTCGGATACTTTTATCCTTTCATATAAAAATCTCTATTGGAAATGTAATAATCTTTCAGTTTATAAGTTAGTATAATACAGTAAAATAGAATTAATGGGACATGTCCTTAAACAAGCCCCTAATAATCTTATCTATCAAGCATTCTACAAAATCTTCCCAAAAGAGACCTCCATTAAACCTTTCTAAGAATATTTGGTTTGGCAAGATTTATAAATCCTTAACAGATATGGGACTTGGCTCGACAAATAGACGTTTATTTAAGAGGATTGTGAACCTAATTTATGATCATCTAAGGATGATTGTTGATGGCGAATGTAAATTTTTTATTGTTTATAGTTATATTTTTAAACATCTTCTCCTATTACTTTTTGGACCTAATAGTTTCAGTTTATTGATCGTTAAAGATATAAATAATTATACTAAATTTAATAAACTTATATGTTAATGAAGAAAAATGGATTTGTGGAAGTAACTATTGGAGTGAATATGAAGTTGCTAAAATTTTTATATTTGTTAATCTTTTTTAATTTCTGTCTGTATTAGTATATTGATATATAAGTTTGAAAAGAATAAAGAGATGCATGTGCTGCCCCATATTAGTGATTTTCTGGTTGTAGATCTTAAGCCATCTACTTTAGATAAATCTGTGGGTTCAAGATGGTTCGAAATGTGGGCGGTTCCTAAACCTCGATTTACTACATGGTTTATAGCTGTGTAGCGTTGGTGTCGCCATTGACTAAATATATAATTAAGGCCGTGCCTATTAAATCTTTTTAGATATAATTATGGTCCTATTTGGTAACTCAATAAAATTGTTTTAATTATATTTTAATTTGATCTTATAAAAAAAAATCTAATTATAATTATAATAAACTTATTTGCTTATATTTTTATCAGTATATTTGGAAGGAGGACCTATTATATTTTACTTCTTTCACTACTATACTCATTGCTAAATACGATATAGCTTAGGTGATTTCACTCTTATATAACTATATATCTGGGTTACAAGGTTTATTGGTATCCCTGATAAAAAAAAATCAGCATAATTATATGGAGGATGGGCCTTCGTATAATTAACATACACTTATTTTGGGCAGGTCCATGACCAACGTGCTAGATAAGATAAGTATTAATAGTTTGCTTTATACAAGCATTTTTTTTAACTGCATACCAAAGACCTGGCCCGGTCAAAATAGTATTATTTTACAAATCAGAGTGGGGCTTATAAATATTTTAAAAAAAGTGGTAATTAGTAAATTGAGGGTTTTGAAAGCTAGCAAAGTGGTATTCTAAGGGATACAATAAATATTCGACCTAAAAAAAGGTATGTTTTGTGAATAAGATATGTGGGGTGGGTTAGAATCGATTAATAAACATTCGTCAGATAACGGCATCAAGCTGGTAGAATGAACTTTATTTACTTGCCCTTAAAGCGGAATTCGAAACCGGTATCAGAACCGGAATTCTCCAAACCGGGGACAAATTTAATAACCGAAACTTTATATTTTATATAAAAAAAATTAAATATATCTATTAAGCTAATTGGAAAATTGCTCAAATTTCAATTTTCCTTTTGGATCAATTACAGCCAGAATTTATTCAGAAAAACAAAAATTTTTTAAATATATGGTTGGGAAAATCCCCAAGTAGAGCTTGAAAATGAAAAAAATTTTCCCCAAATCCATGAGGGCCTAAATCTCGACCCTCTGACAGGTACCCGCTAAATATTAATTTTGAATAAGAAAAAAATGGTGGTCTTCCAAGTCTCCAGGTGCTATCTAAAATGAAATTTCTGATTCGTCAAAAAATTATAATATAAGAGCAATTAACTTAATAGGGTCGCATTCCGATAACTTAGAGAGTAAAGGCGGTAAGTGCGTTTTGGGCTTTAATTCGGTCCCAGATTCATCATCCAAAATTTTAACATTTTCCCGAATTGATTGGCGTTCTCGATTATTTAAGGATATGATTTTGGCTTCGTAAAAGCTCGTCAACATTTGAAGGGCCTTTTTGCCATAGCCCATCTTATGAAGATTAGTATAAATTTTTTAGGAAATAAATATTGTTTTTTATAAAAAAATTATGCAATGACAAAGGAATGGCATTAACTTTTCATGTTTTTTTGTCATTAATTTAAAGGAACAAATATTCCACCTAACTTCCTGTTTAAAATGTTTTTGAGCCATTATGTTAAATATTTTCGACTTATTCCATCTCTGCAAATTAATAAATTTGTTGCTAACCCGTTGATAATCGGGATGAGTTGCAATTCTAATAATACGAGCACCTGCTAGATGAGGGAAATCGTAATCTTGAAACTAATGTATATATTTTTTTTTAAATTAAAATTATTATATTTCACGAATCCTCATTTAAAAAAAGGTTTTAATATAAGAACCGATTGTTAATTGTCTATTAGAGAGTTCTAGGATAAATTAATATTTTCGTTTTTTTACCTAGTTCCAATTCTATTTTTTTTATATATTAATTAAGTTAGGACCAACAAAATCGTATCCTTAGATGATTCCATTATATAAAAAAACTCCGAAACATTCATTATTAAAGCTGTTTTTTTTTAAAAAATGGCTTTCCTATAATAAAGTTATAATCATAAAATAATGAATAGACGCAGAAATTAAGATTATTAATACAAGGTGCTGAACGAGATTTTCCTAAAAAAAATTTTATTTTAGTTTATAGCGAAGAAAAATGTTGGGCAATTTATTCTTAATTTTTAAAAAAATTTATTTTATATCAGCCGCCCGTCCTAAATTTTTCCTTATATAAAAGGAATTTTGTCTAAAATAATATTGGTCTTCTTTTAAAATTTTTTTTTATATAATATCAGAACAAACCTGTTGCGATATGTTCCAAGGTATTAAATCTCCAGAAGCTTTTTTACCTCTTGCCAAATTATCGATCACAGATTCTTTCGATAATTCACCTTCTAAGCATACCTTTGATAGTGTAAAAAAAGTTGCAAATAACGTTAGTAGATTAAACACACACGAGGGAAAGAATGAATTATCTGGCTTTCGATTAAATTTTACCAATAGCCCGCGGGTATGTATACCTATTCTTATAATAGATTGGAATTGCGGGTATTAGATATTAAAAGTGTTTTTAAGCTTGCCCGACTTGAATCGATTTTTAAAAATGACCCTATTATGATTTTAGCTAAAATAATATTATGTAGGTATAGATATTCTGCTCATAGATAGTAGAAAGGTTTGAACCTTTATTTGCCAAATCTTGAGGCTTACATAACATTATTTTGCTAAAATCTTAAACGGGTCTTTTGCAAAAATCGCCCGAATCGGGCCGCTTAAAAACACTAGATATTTGTTTATATAGCTCAGGAAACTGGTTAATCTCTAGTTTACGGGTAAAGCAACTTAGGTAAATGAAAAATTGATTGTGAACGTTCAATTTCTGATCTGTAATCGTTTTCCTCTTCAAACGAAGATAACGAACAAAATAATCGGTTACACCATACTTGTTTAAATAATATGCTAATAGTCTATATGCTTTCAATAAAACATTGGGAAAAAATCAATATTGACCTTTAAAATAGGTGACCTATATAGGTATAGCCCATATGAAAAACTATCCTTCTCTTAGGGTGACACATAGAAATCTATATTTTTTAAATGTAAACTTTACCCATAGGTGAGTTAAATAATCTTTTCGTTAAACAAATTTAAAAATTGCAATATGATACTAAATTTAAATATTTTTAATATACAATAAAAAGTGTAAAATAAAATAACAAAATATATGTATATATCGATACAGCTAAAAATGTATCTAGATATAATATAGATACGATACTTTTGTATATGTATATAATATTAACAACTCAGGTTGTGAATATTTGCTTATAAAAATAATTCCGTGTAATATATTGGGATTGTGGGGGTTCAGAATATCTGTAAAACACATAATTTGAGTAATATTTTTTTTGTTTAATAAAATTGGGATTGTGATGATTGGGACCATATGGGGTGGGTCAAACAAATTTGAAGAATAAATTCATTTTTGATATGTTAAAGCTAATCGAATATTAACAAGCATTAATTGTTTTATAATGCCTAGTTTCTTATTTGTTAAATATGGACTCTCATATATTGCATATCTACAAAAATGTTCCATAAAGTATTCAAGATCCTTTCTACAGCAATGCATTGTTTCCATATTTGATATTGGGTTCATATTTAACATACACCATTTTTCCACTTTCAACATAATTCCAAATACCTTCTTCCCATATGTGGAACTTTTCTTTTATTTTTAAAAGGTTGTTACATATTCAATATATAACTAGTTCTAAACACCATAAGCAATTAGAATCTCAATCAACTCACTTCAAATTTGATCCAAAATATTTTATAGGAAATTTCTGTAGACAGGGGGTAAAACTGACACATTCAAACAAACTCGTTACTCGCTAACAATTTATTAGTTTTAAAAGGTTCAAAATTGTATTTTAAAAAAAAAAGAAAAATCGTAAAACCTGTACAACACATAATATTTCTGGCAAACTAGGCTTGGCCGGATCGTAAGGACCTAGCAAACAGAATATTTGGTGAGCAGGAGCATCTGATAGCATTTGTAAATCGTTCGGGGAATTCTGTAACCATTTTTTAAATAATATTATTAAAATAATGACATTATGCATTTTTTAAATAAAATTGATCACATATAAAAAACATAACCTCGTTTTTGAAATAATTTAACAGTGTAGTAACTGGGTAAGTATGTAAAAAAAAGAAACACGTGGCCCACAGTAAAATGGCGATTAATAAGTAGCTATCTTTATTAAAATGACGACTCGTCGTGAGGCATTTGTATAATTCATAAATACATTTATAAAAAAAATAATGACACAATTCAAATTTATTTATTATAATTAGTAGGGCTGTTCCAATATTAAATATAGGATGGTGACAGATATTTCGCGCTTTTGAAAAATACAAGATGATCGATATTTTAATAAATCGATCCTGGTAAGAGATTTTTATTGTTTTGGGTTATTTTATGATTGTATATAAAATTATTTTTTATTTTATACATGATTTCATAATAATATACTAATAAAAGGAATTTAAAATTTTAATTTATTTGTGATGTTTAAAAAAAAATTGAATTATTTTATAAGATAACGTAGCTAAAAATTTGGTATAATTTTTTGTTAAATTTATCTGCAACAAGAAAAGGGTTTAAACATAGATTTTAGAAAAAGCTTACTTCAAGATTTTAGCCAAAATAAAATTACCCGAGTATTGAAATTTTGCTCAAAGATGACAAAAGGGTTTGTCTCTTGGCGAAATTTCGAAGCTTAGGTAAGGTAACATTATGTCAGCTCATAAATTAGCCATTTATAAAAATCAAATCAATAGAGCCGTGCAAAACTACATTCTATAAACACTCCTCATATTTTAAATAAGATGATTAACTCTTGGAGATTAAAAAATACAAATCAAACTTAATCATTAGTGAAAATCAATTGATTTTTCATTAGGAAATATTAATCTTTTTATGACATTGGTTCAAAGATAGTAAATAAAAATCAATATAAATATCGGACCGGTTATCATTTCGGTTTTATAGTAATATCCGGAAATATCGATTCCGTGAAAAATTTATGGATCGGCACAGCCCAATTAATTAGTGGTGTGAAATGATAGTAAAGAAGAATTATTTGATATATAGTATCACTAAATTATAACCGTTCAAATTAAAAGGCAAAAGCCTAATAATAAGTAGAAGCTCGTGAATGTATATTTATTTTTTGTTAAAAAAATAAATAATTAATTCTACCTTATAATGTGACGCCACGTATATACCAACCAATTTTTGTAAAAATGCCTCGGAGGCCATGTGAAATGAGAATAGCGTGTCTCTATTTATCATGTATAATTCGCACATATCGGGTGGTGGACATATGTATCTAATCATCGTAAATTATAATAATCCTTTTAATAAATTTATCATATTAAACTTATAGAATACATAATCAATCAACCATCCCAATGATGGTGTATTAAGAAAAAAAAAGAAGATTAAACTTATTTTATTTTTAAAGAGTACAACATTTAAATTCTAATTTAACATATACCAACTCCCTCCCCCTAATCTTCTTCTTTAGTCATATTTTAAACTACTTTCTATCTCTTTCTTTCTTAAATAATCTAAAAATATATTTAGTATTTACCCATTGTTATTTCGCTCGGATAAATTGGAAGCCCCCTGTTTAGTCTCTGGAGCAAACTTATTAGACAAGCATAATACATCGTTGAGCCAGATTTCCACATCGTCCCCCTGGCCATATCTTATAGACTCGGACAGCTTTAATTCGTGAAAAGAGTTGAGGGAATTGTCGCTATTGGCTATGGGATTTGGTAAGGACGATTTTGCAAATTTTTGACGCAATTGTTTGAAAAGTTTAAGGGATAAGGATCGGCCCGTGCCTTCATAACTTTAATTAATTTTGTATATGCGATAAGAAAATAAACGGGGTTTACGCATGAGCACTTATTTTTTGAAAAAGATATAAGAAAGATAAAATTAGGTAAAATAAAGATTTTGATTAGATAAGTACTCCTCTTCTGGAAGATAATATTTTTAAAAAATAAGAAATGCTGTATTATTTTTAGAGTCGCACGGTTCTTGAGATCGGCGTAGATTTATCAGCGTTCTAATCCATTTCCTAATATATATTTTTTATGAGAAGTGAGGTTAAGTCTTTTCCACCCGCAGATACAAATATAATAAACTAAAAAATATTTGAGAATAACATTCCCAACAACATTATAAAAAATTACCCACTAACGGTTGAAGACATAAAGCAGATGTAAGGGCCGAGCATTTTTTTCACGGTAGGTAGTGGAATGGCAGCGGCTTCATCTATCACCAATAATTCGCATTGTCCTAATTTTTCGCTCTCGTTTGGTGATACATACTTAAATCATAATTAAAAATATAGATGAAGGATTTAAGGAATATGAAGAAAAAAAATAAAAAATATTATTCTTTATATATAGGAAGAAAGAAAAAAATACTTGGATAGTTTGCCTGTGCCGTTTGAACACGTTTATCCGAATCACATTTTTGTTGTGCTCCGAATTACTGGATCTAATTGTTTCATAATCTATGTGTTCCTGAAGCATTGATTTAAAAAAATTAATTAAATACAATATTTTTTTATTTGATTCCTGGCAGCTAAAATAGAAAAAAAAGTTAATTTTGAATTGATCTAACTCCTTATATTTATTCGTAAACTTGAAATAATTTTTCTCTCTTTTTGGAGTCGTCAGACCCACAAATAGAAATACTAAAATTAAATTTAGATCCAAATATGCGAATTAATTAAGTTATCAAAGGAATATTGATATGTTTATACCTCTATTTATTTTTTTCAAATAAAAATAACTATAAATATTTTAAAAAAATGTCACAAAGATGAGACTAGTTTTATTAATGCCCAAAATATTATATGGGTGGGATTAAGTCAATGATGATACCCATCCCTCCTATCCTTTATTATTTTCTACACCCTTCTAATACAAAATTTGAAAAAAACGTATTCCCAATCAAAACTAAACCCCATACCCTTATTCAATTTCAATGACGATCTCGTGTAATACTCCCAGGGTGGTAGAAGCCCCTAATTATATGTTTGGTATATTAGGGGCGGAATGTAATTCATAAATATTATTATCATTTTTAATATATTCATTTATCATTTATAATTAATATGGGAATAAAAGGTTTTAAAATTTTAATGAAATCGCGTGTTAAATTTTTTGAAATTTTCCAGAATTATATTTTGGGGGCATGTTTTTATTTTTATAATAAAAATAAGCTTATTATTTCTTTTTCGATAGGTTTCAAAAGTTTACGAATCGAATTTTTTGATATTTTGGACACCGCCTAATGTAGGCTTAAAATAAGTTATTTTATTTATGACAATTAATTAACACTTTTGAGTATCGGCCAAAATTTAAAATATCAGCTGATACCAAAACTTATATGTTTAATGATCATAATATTCATTAGGGTAAAAAAATTGAAAAGGATTAAAGCTAATAAATAATTTAAGTATTTGAAAATTACATTATATGAATAATAGAAAAAAATGTTGCTTGAATCAGTTGAATCAGATTAAAAAATAAATAATGTTTTGTGGTAAATACCTCGTAGGATAATGCCACAAAACCTTTCAAAAGGAATTCAAAGAGCGTTTTTAAATTTTCCGGATTTGGGGATGTGACGAATATGTTGGAATACCTTTATTTAAAAAAAATATATATATGTTATATATATATAGCAAAAGTCAACTAACCCTGTTTAACTTCTCCACCCGAAAAAAAAATAACCAAAAAAAGAGCCAACGGCATTCAGATCGAATTTGGTCATATTGGAATCTAATTATTTTATTAACCAAATAGTTACCGGTTAGGTTTGATATAAACCGATATTCGCGAAATAAAATAACTAGACTTTATTAGGTTTCTAAGGCTAATCTGAGTGCAGCCAACCGCTTTTTAGGGAATTTTTTTAGGAAATATGGAGCGGAGCGGTTTATGAGCTTCACTAATTATATTTAAATATAGGTTACATAAGATGCCGAGGGGTGATAAATTTTAAGGGATAAAAATAAAAGGTATATATCGCAGAAATTATAAATTAAAAGATTCTAAAATCTACCATTTTTTAAAAACATATTTACTTATGGTAAAATAAAAAAGGCATATAAAATCCAAAATAATTTTAAAAAACATAAAATTTATTTACACGAACGAACCATATTAAATATTTTAGCCATCTTAAATTGGAGTGTGGGGGAGGTATGGGAGGGGGGAAGGGGTATTGTCATTTTTATTCTTTATTTTACCCATAAGCGATAGCGGTGGCGATGGATAGACCCAAGCAGGCCGATTTACCCCTACCCCTAGACGCGGTAAGACAAATCGTGCTTTTGATAACTTTTTCGGATACTATATCTACAAATTTTAGCAACGCTTTTGCCTGAAAAAAAAAATTTGTTTTAATTAATTTTTAAAAAAATTTACTATCATTTTAAATTAAATATTTTTAAAATCATATTTTTAAAAAAATTAATATATATGAAAATTAAATTCCAATTCATGAATAAATGAACCATTTTTTATTTTAGGATAATAGCTCAACTCAAGGAATGTTCAACTGAAGGAGGTTTTTTTAATTGGATGAATTATATTTAAAATTAAACAAGTATCTGACGTATAAGGAGTAGTAGGATTAAAGGTTAGATATGGGTTAGGGTTAATTAAATGGTTGAGAAATAAGGGTTATGGTTAAGAAATATTTTTTTTTTAAAAATGGTTTTTAATAATCATATCATTTTTTATTATAAACACTCCTCATTACAGAACAACGAACCTGATCTAAAGTTTTGGTAAGCTTCAATATGGGCCCAGTAGTTTGAACATCTTGAAAAGACTCCACTAGATTTTTTAATTCGATTTGATTCATCGGTAAATTTTCTTCCTTTTATATAAGAAAAATAATGAGCAAATTGATTGGCCATAATAAATTCTACACTCAATATTTTTAAGTAATGTCACGCGTCAATTCAAATCATATTGAAAATTAGGGTGTCAAACCGTTAAAAGTATTATGGATAGGTTTTTTTAAGTTTACAATTTTAAAACGTTTAATTTTATTTCGTTGATTATGATAAAAATTTAGATCTGTCTGTTCCGCTTTCAAAAAATTAATAAAGGTTTCTTTTTGATTTCGTTCCGATTGGTATAAATTTAAAATTTTTTAAATTAATCATAATATACATTTTTTTTTAAATATTGACTCCCTACTAATCGAATATATTTTTTTATATATAAAATGAATAAGAAAATAATTAATTAAGTAGCATAATAATAACCAACAAACATACAATCAACAGTATATCTATACATGGGCAATTAGGCCCCGCCGAATTAACCTAAATTTTTTTTGGTTTTCTTTTTAAATATTGTTTTATTTATTTTTTTATAGATATGGAATATAATTTTTAAATATTTATAATAAAAAAAATTTATCGAAAATTTTTATTTAAATTTAAAAATAAAGATTTTAAATATATATATATTAGAGACCTGCAGACCCGGGATGGGTACACGGGTCAGGCCGTATTTTAATTTTTAAATATACCCGGGCCGTGCCTAAAATTTTCTTTTTTAAAAAAAATACTCGGGCCGGGCCGCATATTTTAAAGCCGAATATTTTACGTGGTCATTATTAGTTATAAAAATTAAAAATAAATGGCCGAAAAAATTTTTATTTAAAAAAATCTTAGCTGGGCCAGGTTGAGCAAATGATACCTCTGCAGGTCTCTGATATATATTTTTTTTTAAATAAATTGAATTAGAACGAATTAATGATATAATATTCTATTTTCATAATAAAAAACCATAGTTAATCATTTTAAGGTAAAAAATTTTTTTAAAAACCATTATGAACTGACGGTTTAGGATGTATTTATAAATATTATCTAATATTGAGATTTTCTTCTAAAGGTTGGGCATGGTTAGGCATACTCAAACGTATCGAATAATAAATTATTCATATTCGATTTATAAATCGAATAATTCATTATTCGAATTTTTACGTTTAATCGAATTTACTATTCTTATTTGATATTAGAATAAATATGAATAGTTTATTATTTGACATTGGAATAAATACGAATAATTTATTATTCGAATTCGGAATATTAGATTTAAAATACCCAGACTTAAATACATTTAATTTTAATGAAGATGTAAAAAAACGGTAAAGTAAAAAAAAAAATTATAATAATAATTTAAAACCTGAGGTTTAGGAGGCAACTTTTCTATGTTGATAATGTTTGATGATATGGGTATTATATTAAGCTTGTCATCTAATACCAAGCATCTTTTACATGTGGTCAATGACAATAAAAATCTGACGACAAAATGAATAAATTATTTTTAAAAAAATTGAATTATAAATGATTGATGCGCTATAAACTTTCGAGCCTTATAGTACGGCCATTTTAAAGCTGCGTTGAATCGCAAATAATAAAAATTTTTCAACTGATATAGTTTAAATTAGCGCGATTTTATCGTTGCGTCAAATATCATATCGCAAAAAATGGGGAATAAGTTTGTGATTTTATTCCATATCGCCTCAATTTTAAACAAGATTGAGTATCCTTTTTTTAAAATATTGAGAATAAGCACTATTAATGAAGGTGAAATATGGGGCCAGAAACAGCCAATGACTCACTTTTCGTGAGGAATAAAGTGTAGCAAGAGTCAAAATTTGTGTTAGAGAATTACATGCGTTCATAAAATAAAGAAGTTAAATTTTGAATAATAGTATTTTATTATTAAAAAAAAATGGTTATTTTTTTTAAATGATGGGTGGTAGTGAGTGGCCTTGCAGTCATGTGAAGCTAAGGGTTGGTGGTTCGAGTTTCGATTACTGGCGAGGCCCCATTTTTCGTTATTTTTTTCAACCAATTCGAGCAAGGTAGATTAAATAGCCTAAATCGATTTAAAGTTTTGACGATTAATTAAAATAATTAAAAACAAATAAATTCTTTCAAAGAAGCAAAATAATTATTTATAGAATAAATCAATCAAAATATCATGGGATTAGATTATAAACATTCATCTAGGAGTATATATTGCAATGCTGATAAAGCGATTTTTGCATTCTATTTCATATTTGTTATATTTTTTAAAATAATTTAGCTTCTATTAAATTTAGAAATTTAATTATATTCAAATTTATCGTTTGAAAATAAGTAAACAAGCAATTTAAATTGAATAAACTATAACAAGAAAAAATTATGAAATTGGATTATTATTATAAAGTTTGACCAATTTAATAATTCCCATATATAATTAAAATTTTACATATTAAATATTCATTGAGTAAATATTTTTAGATTGCGATGGGGGGGGGGGGCATTCTGATTCATAATCATACTCTATAGTTATGACACTGAGCCCATAGGTCATCTACATTTTAAAAATTTTATTCAAATTTCTATATTAAGCTTTGATATTTCAAACACACATTAAGTTAACCATAAAATAATTATAAATGTAGAAAATTTAAAGGTTCAATATTAAATAAAAAATTCATGAGAATTTTTGTAAGGAGTTTTAAAATTATAGCAAATTTTCCTTAAACATTATAATATAAAATTATTTTCAAATAATAAAGTTTAGTTTATTATTTTAAAATTGTTCTAGATATTATGCTATATTTTAATATAAATAAAGATAATTACATTTTTTTTAAATAATTCCATATATGTTTCCATCTTAAAATCATTCAATAAAAAATACATAAAACTTTGTCGATAAATGTTTAGATAATAGGAGGCTACTGAAAAAACAGGTCAAATATTTTCAGGTTTTGTTTGGTAACAATTTAAAAAGTATAAATAAGTATTAAAAAATGGAATGTTTTTTTATAAAAGTAATAAATCTTCCAATATATGTATTTACCTTTCATTAAATCTTGATATAATATTTTTATGAGCTTCAGTTTTATATCGTGAATGTATGTCCTAAAATTAATTTAATATTTAAAATTGTGAAACATTTTAAAGCAATATATTTATACTAACTGATTAGATTAAATACACCTTATGAATTAAAAAATGTCAAAAAAAAATAATACCATAGTCATATTGCACAATTGGTTTAGAGATAATATATTATTTAAGAGAAATATAACTAATCCACCCCCTTCAACTGTTTCAATTGTTTGAGCCAAAATATTTGGTGTTAATGCTTCAAAATCCTAAAATATATTAAAACAATCATTTATAATCAATATAAAACCTGCAGTAGGCAAATGCCATATGTGTTACCTAATATATTTTTGGTCTCTGAATAATAACAATAACGTATATTCGTGGAAGATATAAAAAATTCGAATGGATCATCTTCATTAATATCCATATTTCCATTTTTTATTTGTTTTTTTAATTGTTTCATCCTCTTTTTTCTATGACTAAAATTTATAATAGTTATGGTATCTTAAATGCTAATAAACCTGCTAAAGCCTAATTCTTTTTTGTAGCACCACAACACATTAGGTCTAGATTTAACTACAGCTTTTGATAATATGTGATGTAAGATGACAACCTGTATAAATAAAGATTCTAGTAAATTAGCCTATATATAAACTTGATCCCTCGCTTTCTCACCAACTATAAAAAAAAGGCTCCTGTGTCCGAGAGTAACGCCGTTTTCAATAAGATTTCTTATGCGATTGTCGATTTTTTTCCTCATGTTTTAGGGTAAAATATTATGAATGAATGATGATGAGTTTAAAATGCATTTTTTGTTTGCTAACCTCTGACTGGTATATGATAAAAATATATCATAGTAATAATAAAAATTACAAATCGTTAAATTAGCCCATACAGTTTTTTTTAATAAGTATTATTTAATATTAATCCTAAGCATATTATCATTTCATATTTTCCTTTACTATATTGGTGATTAATAATTATAATTTATAATATGCACATAGAAAGAAGAGTTCCAATTTTAGTAATATTATTAGAATATACTTTTTAATACCGTGTTACATTATTACTTCATACAATAAATACCTCCGTTACTATCATATTATTGAAAACAGGGTGTTGGGATTCGAAATCCTATGTATCAAAGTGAATGTCAAACGAAAAACATACATGGTCTAATTCGTGGAATAAAATAATAATGGCTATTAACAAATTGCCTAGTTTCAACTTAATAAATAGAGATAGTTGAGCGAACTATAATATGATTCGAAATATGCCAATATAATTGACATTCGGAAATGGTAACATAAAATTATTTAGTCACCATCAAATTTAAATTTGAGTTATAAGATACCGAAAAATAAAATAAAAATGCAAAATAAAAGAAAGTAAAATTGAAATAAGATGAAATTGAAATTAAAGCGAAATTAAAGAGAAAAAACTATAAATGAAATAGAAACAAAATTAAAAAAAGCAAAATCAAAATAATTATTGAAATAAAGAAGAGTAAAAACAAAATTAAAAAAAGTAAAATAGAAAAAAAACACCGAATTAATCCAAATAAAAACCCTATTCCGATGTAAAATCTTCGGGAAATATATAAATATTCCGGAATAATATCCGACAAAAAATTTAAAATATTCCCAAATAAATTTTTTTAAGTAGAGAGAAAGAATATGTATAAGAATCATATTATCAGTATATATGTATATATGTATCTATATAAAATTTAAGAAGAAGGAACTGTTGTTTGACAATTATAATAAGTAATATGTATATGGAACGAAGAATTCTATTTTTGGTAATATAATTTTATAATATTTTATGATATCTTTTGTATCTATAAGTTAACTTTGCAGTAAGGGAAAAAATTTACTTACCAAATTAGTTTAAAATTACTATATCTAATACACCCCAGAGTGTTTAATAATACACAACACACATAATTAATTATAAGTAAACACCAAAATTAAACTAAACTATCAAAATCTTATTACAGATAAAACAAAAATTATGAGCAAATTAACAATTTAATTATGTTGGAATGATTTTAAATATGATATATAATATTCAGGGCCTTAACTACAAAGAGCATTTGGGATCTCGGTCCTCAAATAATGCACTCTCATCCCTAATATTGCATATTCTTTTTGATCCTTTTTATAAACTTAATAGTGAATTGAATTATGATCGGAGTCATTTTATTTTATTTTGTTGTATACATTTTTTTGTAACAACGGTGCACTATTTAACTTTAAATTATATAATTTGTAAGACTCAGAATGAGTCTTATATTCTTTTATCTTGGAGAATTATTTTTTATTAATATGATATAACATAAAAAGACCGATTTTTGGAATGTTATAACTTACAAACTTCATTTTTTTCTATTTCACCATTAATATTATTCGACATTTTGTGAATTTTGGATTTCAAATAATACAACTCTTCGAATAAAACAACAATATTAATTTAGCGGACAACCATTCATTACATAATTTACCCTTTAATATTAAGTGAATTATCAATAATACATAAATTAGTCATTTACTAATTATAATTCTTATTTTCTTTATTATCTGCATTTGCCATAAAAACGACAAAAGGGGATCGAAATATGCACTTTCCGGTCAAATCTGATCGATATATGCAATTTCTGCTCAAAATATGGCACAAAATATTTGCTCCTTCCCTTTCCTACTCCTTTAATAAAAATATTTTAGTTTTAGCTTAACCCAGTGGCGTAGCTACGGGCGTGGTTTTCGGGTTTGGACCCCTCCCAGAGCAAAATTTTTTTTTAGATTATACGTTCAAAAGACTTAAAAGATACTTTATATCAAATAAATACGATTAATATATATATTTTTTGGTTTTGATGTTTGTGAAAGGATATTATATTACTATTGAAATTATTCTGGGTAGTATTATTATAAAGTCATTGAGAATAATCTACGATGCAATATATTTATTAAATATTATCGAAGATATGGTTATTGATTTTATAAATAAATCCGGCCGAATGCCGGGCAAAAGGGCCGAAAGCCCGTTAAAGGGGTCTGGGGCTTCGCCCCCAGGCTTTTATATGTATGGACCCCCTCTAAGGAAAATTTCTAGCTACGCCACTGGCTTAACCCTTCATAGAGCTAGTAAAAAAAATAACAGGAAAATATCGTTGGGTCTATTTATCGCTCGGCTGAAAATATCGCTCGGCTAGAAAATATCGCTCGGCTAACCACATAATAAATCATTTATTACTAAATATCGCTCGGCTAACCACATAATAAATCATTTATTATTAAATATCGCTCGACTAGAAAATATCGCTCGGCTAACCACATAATAAATCATTTATTATTAAATATCGCTCGACTAGAAAATATCGCTCGGCTAACCACATAATAAATCATTTATTATTTAAATTACGCTCGGCTAATTACATAATAAATTTTTTATTACTAAATATCGCTCGGCTTATATTTATGTATTAAATTTCCAAACATTTTCCAGTGGGTTTTCACTTTCCTAATATTAATTAAGAATTAATTAGTTTATAAATAAGATAAAGGTTTGGACAGGTGTAAAAAATTATCTATTAGATATTTTAGCTTCAATACTTTTATAAAATTAAAATTGCTCATAACATTTTTTATTTATTAAAGTAAATGAAATAATATTCTATCCGCTAGATGGCGTCTTTAAATTTTTTATTATAAAATTTAAAAATAATATTTTTGAATGTGTTTAATAAATTTCGCCATATTCTATTAAATATTTTTAATTTTTTATTATAAAATATAAAAATATTATTTTTGAATGTGTTTAATAAATTTCGCCATATTCTATTAAATATTTTTAATTTTTTTATTATAAAATATAAAAATAATATTTTTGAATGCGTTTAATAAATTTTGCCTTATTGTATTAAGAAATTATATAGGATAATCATAATTATCCAATATTTCTAGAATATCGAATATATTTCATCAATATATATCAGAGTTGTAAACCCCCCTTCTAAAAAAATGGGTTCGGGTGAGAGTTCAGTGATAAATCTCTGAATCCGTTCAGGGTAGTATTGTTAAATAGTCGAGTTTTATTGACCCTGAACTCGAGCCGTAGTCGTAAAAAACGGCTCAGACTAGTGCGGCTCAATAAGCCGTTTGAGCCGAATCTAAATTTAAAAATATTTTATATATTATCAAATTTATAAAGAATTATACAAACTATTATTTTATATATATGATCACCAGAGTTGTTAAAATACACTTTTTAAATGGATCTAGATGCAAATCCACCCATTTTTTAAGTTTTAAATTAATAGGGGAAAATAAATCCTTGAAAAAAAAACCATAAAAAAATTCCCGAATAATTTTTGTTTAAATTTTCAAAAATAACCCTGCCGCTAAAATAACGGAAATATTTCTAAAAAATTATATTCAGTATTTTCTGAAAGTTGAGTATTTATTTACGACGTTTGAGGATTTTTTTAGCATTATTTCTGTTTTAATTCTAAGCGATATAGGGCAATCTCAAAATATGAGAATTGATAAATCGGTTGGTAGCTTTGATACTTTATAATTTAGTAGATAGCATAAAAAGTATAGATTTGTGACATCTTGGAAAGAAAACATGATAGATTTTTATAGAAATAGATGAAAATTATGATTTCAACTTTTGAAAAAAAAGATGGAAACAAATTATTTTTATTATTTAATTTCTTTTGGGGAAAAAAAGGAAAGGGAGGGAAATACAATTGAAAGTTATGCTATTATGAGAAAAAAAAATATGTAAAAAAAGGAAGTTATTAATATTAAAAAAAATAAAACTCAAATTTTAAGATGCCAGCCAGGCGGCAAAAGGATTCAAAAAGTATTAATAGTTAAAAATTAAAATAACATAATATCAATCACAATTCACTTCAAAATAATCATTTATTACACATCATAAATTTTTTTTTCGAATTCATATTCACAATCACAATTCACTTCAAAATATAATCATTCATTTATTACATATCATCAATTTTTTTTCGAATTCATATTCACAATGGAGGATGCTATATTAAGGTTAATATTCATTTATTCTTCATATTTTCTTTATCTATGAAATGATTCACAAAATATAGTCAATTATTTTATTATGGTTTTAATTTTTATTCAAATAAAGATACATAGGTTGTTACATGCTGTGACCCTATTAAAAAAGTATTCGAGTTTATTTGCAAAAAATATCTGAACCAGGTTGGGATTCAGGTTCGGTGCCCAGAAAAAACTTAATTTAGTTAAAATAACAGTACAAATTTTTTATTAAAATTAATCTTATATTTAGTTTAAGAATTCACCGTAAAAATATTTATCATTTGGAGTTCTGGTGACCATCATTTAAAAAAACAATATGGAACTATATAATATCATTGTAGGGCCATAATTTAATAAAATTTGACAAATCGCTGTTTTTATTAGGAAATTAGACTGGTAGGGTAGTTTTTGAATTGTTTTAAAAAATATTAATATAAATATTAATTTTACCCAATGTTGTGTGCCGACTCTGAATATTCGCACAAGGGTTCAGACAGAGTACTCACATTTTCATACATCCAAATTGGAAATCAAAGATTTTGGCAATTTTATTTGATATCAAGAAATTTTATTTAGTCAATTTTAATAAAACCTTGATATGGTTACATTTTATAAAAATCTTATTTGATTTAGGGTTATTTTCGTTCTTTTTATTTACTCAAGATTCAATACTTGAAAAAAAATTAATTTTTTCTTTTTTTGCAGATTAA